CCTCCCTCTTAAGGTAAATAATATCCTTTCAGTGAATATTCTCCATGCGTGCGTAATAGAAGGAGGGAGAGTATCGGTGGAACATTTTATTTATTTAATTTTTGCAAATTTAAACGCAATTAATTATGATGGAAGATTTATACTTAATCGACTCACACCGGAGTAAGAGCATCCAACAATTTATTGTCCATCCAACTGACGGCTTCGATGATTCTGTCAGGATCTGCAGGTGGGGGATACACAGATTCCAATACATTCTTTTGGTCACAGTTACAATACGCAGTTGACACGTGCACGAGAGCCTGTGAACAGGAGACATTTCTTGAATCATACAGATCCAGAGTTTAAAGATAAAAATTCAATCGACCACAATCCAGCCAAGCCTTGTCTCCAGGGGGCGTTCCTATATGGATTTATCCCGGGGAAAAATCTCACTCGCGAAGTTGGGAAAAATATTGAGTTAGTCAAAAATAACCACAGTACTATGAGTAGAGTCCTTGTGGAGTCTTAAGAGCGACTCAAACAGAAGAAGAGGAAATTTTGTTGCTTCGCTTAGCGAGGGAAAAGCCCAGAAGTTTTACTCTTGAAATTGGGGACAAATTCCATGAAATATCCCGTAGACCCAAGGCACAACTTTACTCGGTGGCTTAAGGGTGAAATCGTGAGAGATATACGTATACGTGGTCCATCTGCCGCGGTGCCTACAGTCCATATGGATCGTATTCGATACATCAAGCAGGTGAGATTGTATCGATATCGATCGGTTTAAATTTTTTTTTTTTTTTTTGTTCAATACTAAAAGGCAATGAAAAGTGGAATTGTAAGGAATTTTATCATTTTCAGCTTTTCTGACTTGAATCCTAAAATTTTTGAGGTTATGTTCTATTCGCCTTAGTCGCTAAACAGTCACCGCATCATACATTCCTAGACATTCGTTATTTCATTGTTATTCATATCTTCCATTCATTCATCAATTTTTCATGTTGTCTGCTTCCCGAGTCGTTGAACGTGCAGACGGCGGAAGGTCAAGATCAGTGGCGAGGACATAATTTCGTTATGACTCCTCTCGTGCACATCGATAGCTAAAATGCGAAACCACGTATCCTCATTTCCAACGTTGCAGATTTTACGTCATACTTTATATTTTCTTTGAAAAGCTAGTGGACGTAATTTCTCGAAAACTTCCTCAATTTTCCTTCTCTGTTACCAGAATATTTTACGTGCATTTTAAGCCATAAAATTGGTTCATTTTCTTCGAAAAAGTAAAATATGAGCGAAAATTTTGAAATACCGCAATTGAAATGCTAGGTTTTGCACTTAGGCCATCGACGTATGATTCGATGGTGTGATTTATTGAAAAGTCAGGTATCTTGGTTTGCGACGTTGCGAATCTCTCATCACATTTTACTTTTCTAAAGAAGGCCTAATCATCGCGTTTGTACAGAGTCTTATGTTTTCTCTTTACCCACCTTTACCGAATTCTCTAAAAATTTGCCGCAAGAATGAGAAAAATTGAAACAAAAATGTTGCTGTAAAAATGAAATGCGAGCGAATTTTTCAAGTATCGCAATCGAGAACTGGTTGGGTAGCAGTGTTCGAAACTCACAGGCGCCAACGTGCCAAATGAGCCTAAGAAATCGGTCATGGCGCCTAAAAAATGAAGGCTCTGCGCCAACGTGGCCCCTAAAAATTGTCCCACCCCGTCATAAAAGAATCCTAATTTCACTGTTTAGTAATTTTTTGAAATTTCAACGCATGGCACTGGATTCTAACATTCCAATAAATGCGCCGTGATATATAGGCAAAAAGTCAATTTGGCCCCTAAAAATCGAGCTTATTGGGTCATACAACTCCTGAAACTCAAAGGTGAGTTTCGAACACTGCTGGGTAGCATCAGTAAGTGTACTTTCGCTCCCCTTATAAGATTGGGTCATCCTTTCCCTCGTTGACGAACAATAACAGCTGCCTCTGAATAGAACACTTACCTCAAGTTGGCTCATTTTTCTGCACAGCTGTAATAACTGTTTTGTACCTTGTAGATTCATAATGACGGCCGGTTTGAGGTCCTCGTCGAACTTGACGGTGGCTGCCGAATGAAAAACTACCGAAACATTTTCACTCAGAAGTTTTTGATCGGCCGCGCTTAAGCCTAACTCAAGGCTCGTGATGTCTCCATTCACAGCCACTAGTTTCTGCAGCTGCTCATTTTGCGTTTGCCGCAAATATTCAAAAATCTACAAATACAAGAAAATATATACTTAAGAGTACATATATGGGATCGGGAAACTGCATTATTCTCTACACAAAAAGATACAATCTTTGCCCCTTTTTTTTGTTAAAAAATTTTAAAAAGTTGAGATCAAAAAGTCAAATATCCACGGAGAAAAAAAGAGCGTGACGGGGTTGCTGGATCAATAACAAAGTTATAATTTATCTCATTTCTCAAACCACAAGTGAGATGAAACTGTTAACAATGGTTTGAAGGATCTACTTATATAATTACTTCTTTGAGTGAAGCAAAAGTCATTTTAGGTTTTACTCTCATTTTTGTGTTTACGAAATGATTTTTTTTTTTGAACTAACGGTAATAAAACGTTCAATGATGGTGAAGTGACTCCTTATTTTCTTATATACTTTCTCTTCATCTTGATAATTCTATTTGAATAATAAGGAATAAGGATAACATTAATGATAAATCATCGACTGGTATGAAAAGTGATTTTTCCAAAAATGCTACTTATCGGGACCCTTGGACTTAAATCAAATTTTCGCCTTTCTCAAAATTTAGTTTTCGTTCAATTTGATATTCAACAGTCTGTAGCTAAATAAATTACACGCTGTTTTCACTATATTTTTTAAGATGATTTTACGAAATATCTCACGAAAATGGCTCAAAATTCAGTCTGAGAAGAATGTAATTTTCAAAATTTTCCGGGGACGGCCCCGGCCCCCGGCCCCCCTTACTCTGGGGGAGGGGCCCGCCAGAGTTTTTCGAACCAGTGCGCCCCTGACAATGATCAAGGACACTCTTTTATCTCCTTGACTGAAGTTAACAGAAACACCATTGTACTCGATAAATTATAGAAATCAAAAATTCATCAAGTAAATTTTTGGTAGCTTTATTTACGAACCCGACAGTTGTACATTATTCAACCGGCTATTTGGATTTTGCTACCCATCTCAATGGATCCTAAATTTTCACCTCCTTTTTCAAAATTGAGATCAAAATTTGTCTTACCTCAGCAATACTGCCGTTTTAAGGAAAAACGCCGCAGTAACCTTCAGACACTACCAAATTTCCTTGGATATAATGGGTACGCGTTAATTGGGAAGGTTTAAAATATTTCGCTTTCAATTTTTCAGACAATTTTGTTTGTAATTTAAATCAAAATATCTGAAAATTTCAAGGTAAAATTCGCATAACTTTCTTCAAAAATAAAGTTTTGACCAATGGAAAGGCAACATTCGAATGTCCACACGGCGCACAATGGATCGAGCCAATTAGAAAGGTCGGACACGAAATTTTTGACTAAAACTGTAAATTTTGATGTTTATTTGGTCACATTTTAAATTTTAACGGGTGCTTCTTGAAGAAAATTTCACGAGGAAACCACTGGGGCCACTTTCAGAACCTAAAAGCTTTGTATCAACGGAGTTATAAGCGTTTAAAGATTCCAAATTTTATCCGACCTCTCCTATGAACTCCATCCATTGTGCGGCGTTTTACCTTCGCGCAGCAGAGTAGACGATGCCTCGTTGCCTTACTTTTCGTCCCGGAATGCCACGGGAAAATGCTCATTAGCCTTTATGAACTTACCTCTGTATCGAGCAAATTTTTGAGTCTAGTTTGGATGTCAACGCCTTTCTTGGGGCGCATCAGGAGGTAGATTTTTGAGAGCTTTGGGCATGATCTGAGGAGTTTCTCGACCAACACTTTGCCGATGAATCCGGTCGCACCGGTAATCAGGATGTGACGACCGTCGAAAAAGTTTGCAATCCGGCTTCCAGAATCCATCGTCTGGAAAACAAGTCAAAACTTTAAGAAAAAGGGTAGTGGCGTGAGGTGCTTTGCGATATACATATATTGATCTGCCATTTAAACCTATAGAGGAGGATCGATAGATAGGGTTTTCGCAACGAACACCTTAACAATCGATTCTTTAATGCAATTAAAGAATATTTTTTGATCGAAAACACAGGAAAATACGGAAACAAGGCTAAAATACAAAATACAAAGGCAGGACGTCTCGGTACCTTACGACACCATTATCAACTGCTAAAATAGAATTAAAAATAAAAAAGAAATTAAAATAAAAACCAGCAAACGGCGTTACATGGTGAAATTGGCAGTGAAATGAGTTGTTCAATGGTAGAATGCTCGCCTGAAAAGAAGTTTTATAGGAGTCTCATTTCAATACCAATTACACCATGTAACGCCGTTTTCTGGTTTTTATTTTAATTTCTTTTTTATTTTTAATTCTATTTTAGGAGTTGATAATGATGCCATAAGGTACCGAAACGTCCTGCCTTTGTATTTTGTATTTTAGCCTTGTTTCCGCATTTTCCTGTGTTTTCGATTGTCGTGTCCGTTTCGGGCTGCTTTCACAAGTCTCTTTGTTTCCACTAAATATGTTTCATTCACATTATATGACATCTGTTCGTCATATCTGAACTGAATACCGTCATTTGCGCATGTGCAGCAAAGGTTGATACTAATACTTCAGTTATAAATTAAAGTTACCGATGAACGTCTCTCAGGTTTTTTATCGTTTTTTCTTTTAAATTTTTATTATTTCCGACTGAAAATGACTCAGTTTTGAGTCGAAACGTTTCGGGTTTCATTGATTGTGTATTTTTAGCCTTGTTTCCCGTTTTTTCATCCTTGTTTTTCCACTGTTATCATTGTCTTGGGCTGCTCTTAAAAATTTGTATCTATCGATGAACATCTTCACGACGTCATTCAAAATGTACTGAGTGCCTTGACGTTCATCCATATGTTTCTTACAGCTCACGTAATGCGTTATTTTAATTACTTCTTCACGTATGCGCATTTGACAAAAAATATACTTCCTCTTCAGAGCACCTCCTTCCTCCTTTTATGGAACTTGCAGCCTTTGCTTTGAGGTAAACCTCACCGATCTGTCTAAATATTTCCATTTAGGTACCCACATTGCAGGAACCTATGGGACTGAGGCTATATGTATGTATTCTCAGCCTCTGACAAAACCTCATTTTGGATTTTCAATATTTTCGCCAGAAACTTTAGTTTCTTAGTGAAAATGATTCGCGCAAAAACTTTAGTGGCAAAATGAAGTAAAGGAATCATAATTACCTGTTGTTTATATTTTACTTGAGTACACTAACGAATGAAAGTAAGTTCAGATAGTTGTTTACGGAAACACATTATGATATTTTAAAACGTATAAACTTCAAGGAGAGAATTGATCTCATTTTGAAATCCAAAACTTTAGGCGAGGAACAAGTAACACAGAAGAGAGCATACGTTAAGTGAAACAATATTATTTTAATGAAAAATAAAAACTTTCTGATAACAAAACGAAGCACAGACACAAATAAAATGATAAAAATCTGCAAGAACTTGAGAAGTTTTCGTTCCCACAAACTTGATTGAACGAGACTGAGTTGTGCGCGATGCTTCGTGGAAAATCGACCTAGGAATGAGAAAAATCAGCAGTCTCTTGGACAGACCTACTTTCCAGCCATGGCTACGTAAACAATAGGATTACGCAAACAAAAACCAGAATTCAGTGACGCTCCTCATTTGTTTTTGAACTAGTGGCTCTGCACATAGGTACAAATTGGCTTTTCCAAATCAGAAGTTCCGGGCAGATCAAAGCTACCGAATGATGCCACTTTGCTTAGAAATCTGATTGTGTCAATGCTTTTCTGCAAACACCGAAGAATTGAGACTGTTTCTCTGCTGATTTCAGTGAATTTCACTTAAATTTTGATTTTGTTGCCACTCTCAAAATGAAAGCTCAAAGAGGAATGATTTGTCGAAATTAGCCCAGCGGTATGAACGTACAGAGCTCATGGATGTCGCGTTTTGACTTTTGAGCGCAGGCATCAAGTTTAAGCGATTCATTGGTAATGTGAGAAAAAAATTGCCCTTGTTTTTGGTACTTATTCCAGTTTTTCATAATCAAAAACGTTCTGTTGCATTGAACGCGAATAAGTTCCCTTTTTAATTTTTTTTCCTACTTTTTCGAAGAGCCCCAATGTCATGGCATGTGGGCTTTTTTTTAAAGAAAACATGTACTCATAAAAAACGAGTTTGCGTTGGGGACTCAGATTTGCATGTTAGAACGTCTGCGTTTCTGATATACTCTATTCTAAGTCTCTAACCTGCGCCAGTTTATGGATGATACGCAAAAAAAGAACAGCTACTTAAGGGACACAGGAAATGTTAGAAAGGTAACGCCTCTGCTGTGTTTCCGAAGTAAATAGTTTAGTTCCGTGTACCCTGGTAACATTGTCGATTATACACTGAAAAAAAAGTTACGGGCTCTATAGACATACCGTCCGTTCCGGGCCCAGAGACCGAAACTTCTGGGTGCTGGAGCCGTAACTTCGATTGCACCAGGTGCTACGCCCGGAAGTTTCGGACTCTGAGCCCGGAACGCGAACGGTATGTCTATATAGCTGGTAAGTGCGGCTCCCATGGCCGGAGTTTTTTTTTCGTGTAAAAAAGAACAAAAATGAAAATCGAAACTATAAGATTTTTCTGATTCAAGAAGAAGCCACATTGTTCCTGATTACACGAAGAAATTAAGATTAATTGCGCAATTCAAAATAAGTAAATAAGTGCATCTTCAAATGCATCTCCCCAGCTCTGTAGCCTCCATGAAAAATAAAATCTCCATAAAAAAAGATGTATCATTTTGCCAAAAGAGTAGCCGCCGCTTTCACCGCACCGGTGCATCATAAATTCTGAGACGATCGAACAATTGATGGTCGACTCATTTCAAGGTCATTATCAATTATTCATACACGTGCCAAATTCATCGCTCCGGGAAGTCATAAGGTACTGCATCAACTGTAAAATCTCCGGATTTGGAGGAAACTCACTACCCGGTCGAAATACGCGCTATTTAATTTGGGTGGGTATATACTAGACTAAGTTCCGTTGAAAACAGGGATGAAAATATTTTAGTTACTCCCATTGAATTTTTACCTATCGCAGATTAAGAGAAATAACGCGTCCACACAGCTAAAATTTTTATTTCATACTGTCATATAAAAAATATTTTTTCCATTCAAATATTTAGAAAAAACCACAGCAGCGTCTATAATCTGGCACTAAATTTTGAAGAATTCAATTGAATTGGTTTTCGGTCTGATTTGTTCGCCATGATTATGTCTTACCTTGTAAGAAAATGGTGCAATATCATTTGCTTTTATCTCATTCCATGACGGCGCAAATTGTATTTCAATTTGTACACAAATACTATACGGATTAATGATCTTTGTACCTTTAAAATTTCAGCACGAAACTCAGCATAAACGTCTAATCTAAATGCTGGTTGTAGGATTTCCGCAGGCTGTGAAATGAGTTGCATATTGCGCATAAATATAAATCAACAGTTCAATGCTCCAAATGTACAAATAAATGAGTATTTGAAGTGATATTTCTTTACATGGAGTACAATGTTTAAGACCAAGCGTGCAAAATCCGGCAAATATGTATTGTGAGGAGAGTCATTTCTATCAATGGCCGTAGAATCTGGATCACTTGTATTACACTGCCGGAAACGAGTACATGAATATTTCATACGAATCAAGGCGACAGACATAATGAGCAAATAAAATGTGTGCATAAACGGTCAGTCTATCACACGAAAGAAAGCTCAACTTCCATAAAGTAACTGCACGTGTATGCAAGTTGCAGCGAAAAATGGTCTATATTTTCATCTGCGTTTAAAAATGATGGTATCATCACTTTTTTGCGACCAAATAATTAGGATCCATAATAGTATTCTAATTTCAGATAAATTTTGCCTAAAAGTAGTTCACCTGAAACGACAGGAACGCATGAGTCTATACAGAACAAATAGACTACATTTTGCAATCAGGAACCAGTACTTCCAGCTCAGTGCAGAAACAATGTATGTGCCATTAGTTTCCCTATGCAGATAAGTGCTTTTAGAAATGAGACAAAAATTGTAGTTCCTAATTGCAAAATGAAGTCCAACTGATGATCAGGGGATGCGAAGGCCAAAATCCACGGAAATTCCTTTTGAATCCCACCAATCCACATCAGCTACTGTCAAATTTAACTGGGCGATTTAAATTTTTACATGTAAACGGTTGTGCGGATTTTTGTGCAAATTTCAATTAATTTTTTGCATATAGTACGAAGGAAATACCATAAAATTTACAAAGAAGTCCGCAAAAACGTTCTTTTAAAAAACTGAATTGCCCAGTTAAATTTGGCGATAGGTGATGGAGCTTTGGTTTCTTTCTGGGAAACGCGGGTCCAAATTTGTGAAAATGGTTAACCGAGTCCTAAGGTCAAAAAAAGCTTTTCGGTTATGAAAAGAGAGCATTTTTAGTGATTTTTTTTGTCAAAATGGAGACTACATGCAAGCCCTTAACACCCCCCTCACCTTAAGCCCCCGAGTACCATGATAATTTCTTAATATATCATAGCTGACCAATGACAACGTGTATATTACGGAGACATTTGGGTTCCGAAAGTACATTATTCAGCTTCGAAACGGAGGCTCAAAATCGGGGCCGAAAGCCAAAACCCGCACGAGAATCGAGTTTTTTTAGTGTTCCACGTCAGATTTCATGTGCGTTTGACCCTAGGGTGACGGTTGAGCATCTCCGCATATTTTACGTCTCAAATGGTCCTCAACAACAAATCGAAAGCTCATAAATCGAGTTTTTTGGACCCCGCATGAAATCTGATGTAAAATACTGAAAAAACGGAAATTCTCGTGGATTTTGTCCTCCGGACTCAAGTTTGGGCCACCGATCCGAAGTTAAAGTGTGAGTTTCGTTGAAACAAGAATATATCCGTAAATAATTTCTGCAAGTGCAAAATATCGGAAAATCCTGGGATTCCGGGAGTAGGCCGATATTGGTCCTTATAGACAGCCCTCCTTCCAGTTATAACAAGGAAAGTTTTCTTGTCTTTACGATAGCTTCTTTGTCACACAAACTTTATTTGATCGACACAAATGTAAACAATTTCATTGTGACGAAGAAACTTTGGTTGTCACAGCTAAAATTTTACGTGACACGCTGAGCAGCTCCCTGCTCCCCTGACCCAACAAGTTTTTTCCTTGAAAAAGTAGGAAATCGTCGAAAATACGGTTCTTTTGGTTGTAATAAATCGAATTTTTTTCATACAGAATCTCCCACAACTTTTTATTATCGGAGACCAGAATAATTTCTCGCTTGTAAATGATGATCGATGTGCGACGCGTTAAGGAAATGAGCGTTCAATTGAAAAACCTCTTTCGCAAATAGTGCTTAACTTGACATTCTTCATAAACAGCATATGGCTGACGAATTCCAGCCAGTTGCTCCTCAATCATCGTGATCAAGCGTAAAATAGTTTTGATCCCTGAGATGCCACGTATGCATGTTCATTCAATTTGAATAGTCACTTCGTGGGTCTCTAAAACCTTTTTTCTCTGATTACAAAAGCTCAGAATTTGTGTAAAGAGATGTCCTTACAGCCAGCAGAATCAACCAATCAAAGAGCTTGTATCCGAGACGGACAAACTGTTATGGCGGACAAAAAAATTTGGGCCTTCAGCGGTAACTTCGCTGGAAATTCGGTCCAAAGAGAGTCAGATATGGACTGGTTATATTTCTGCCAAACGAAACTATGCGGATTGAGACATAAGCCTCGAGACCCATAAGAATGTATGCATTACAGGGATCACGTCATAATGCACATAGTTCCGTTTGGCGGAAATACGCCGATATTACGTCAACTCCATCAGGTGAGTTTGTACTTGGTGTGCCGGAAATGTGGAAACTTCTGTTTGATGCACAAATTTTGCGCATCGCGCATTTTTGATCGCGACTCCGGCGGTGCGCTGCACGGCCGAGCAAGGGCATGGCCAAAGTGTATGCGAGGAATTTCCTTGTTCTTCTTCGTTTTCGGATCAAGTATAAACAAACGGAGCAACCATCCGAGCCCCGATGACCGACCGTAACTCAAAACAAATCCGCGACAAGCCAGGTAAAAGGCCTCGATTTACGTCAATAATACCTGGGCGCTCCACGATGCTACTTTTCTACAAGTGGTGAAAGTTCAAAAGTTTCGGCATCGTTTTTCGGCACTGTCCAATGAAAACTTTTCTTTTTTTTTTAAAAAAATTAGAAAAATAATTAAAAATTCGGACAGAATCAACCAGAATCAACCTGACTGAGATCGCTTCTTGTGTAATTTCTTTTCATGCACTGGAAAAAAACACATTGGATCTAGAGTCCAGACTCTTGAAAACATTAACAAGAAAAAATTTTCTTGATTCAATCGGATTTTCGCTTGAATCAAAACGAAATCCGCTTAAATTAAGAGGCTTGGTCCTTGATTTAAGCTAGATTCTGATTGAATCAAGAGCACTTGTTCCTGTCGATGTTTTTAAGAGTCTGGACTCTAGATCTAATGTGTTTTTTTCCAGTGTTTTATTTTTTAACAAAAGAATAGGCAAACTTTTGCATTGTTAAAAATCTCGGAGTTAAATTCGGTATAAATTGATGGTCAAAGTACGAAGTCATATCTCAGTCTGCGTTGCTTCAAAAATTCCTCTCCTATCTTATCTTTTCGGCTAGAAATAAGGCAACCTCATAGTCTGAAATTCATACGGAATATTCTGGTAACAGAGAGGGAAAATCAAGGAAATTTCCAAAGGAATTCTGTCGAATAATTTTCCAAATGAAAAAAAGAGGTGTATGCCAGGAAATCTGCAACGTTGCAAACGTCGTAGTTTCATTCTTCAGCCATCGATCTCACTTTGAAGTATCATACATAGCGCCCAAAGAATCGGAGTGATATTTTGTAGCGGCATCCACTCTTTTTAAGGAATTATTTACATTTTAACGGAGCGAATTAACGGAATGAACGGAGCGGAGGCTGCTGTTTTAGGGGATTGTCGTACGGTCTTCCGGAGCAATTTTCACTCCGCACTCGCAGATTTGGGTTCTTTTGGTACTGTATAGACTTAACAGTGAGATGTGCAGATGAGGTGCATCGAATTCCGCCCCAAGATTTTCGGCAGTGTAGGAATGCATTTTTATAAACTAGAGCAAATTTGCAGAGGTTTGAATGTAATACATGAGAAATTGGAGAACTATAGAGATGCAATGAAGCTGAATCTGGTTGATAATGCCATTCTGAGGAGGTAATTTTGCACGGATGCGACTTCTCAGAGTATAAGACATTTTTGAAAAATTGGGTCAGGTCAGAGCATTGAAAATTACCCACACTGGAAAAAAAAACACATTGGATCTAGAGTCCAGACGTTTGAAAACATTGTCAAGAAAAAATACTCTTGATTCAATCAGATTTAAGCTTAAATCAAAAGGAAATTCGCTTAAATTAAGAGGCTTGGTTCTATTGAATCAAGAGTATTTTTTCTTGTCGATATTTTTAAGAGTCTGGACTCTAGATCCGATGTGTTTTTTTTCCAGTGCACAATTGATTGCCCATTTCTTGATTGTCTGCTGACTTCTAACCATTTCGAATCTTTTTTCTGAATGTATTTTCAGATATACTTTTTTATCAGATATATATCCATTTTCAGAGCAGGTGTTTTATCGGATGCAAACAATTAGGGAATGTTCATAAATTATACGTAACGCATTTTTTCGGTATTTCGACCCCTCTCTCCCTTGTATCGTTTTTGTGACGTTAGTCCCTATCCTTCAACACGTAAATACAAAATGGCGTAACGCTCTCCTTTGCCCCTTTCCGTAAACGTTACGTAACTTTCGAACGGCCCCTTGGGATTGTGGAACTCTTTTTACAAATTGGAATCGCCAACAAAACAGGATGTGGGGCTCAAATAAAACCATCACGTGATTTTCAATGATTAAGCAGATTGAACAGAGCAGCCATTCGGTATCATACTTGCTCAAAGGCCGCAGTGTTGAACTCAACAATTATTACTTAAGCTAGAAAGTTATACTTTCTTGTAAAGTATTTGGTGTAAGCTAAACAGACAAAAGCTGAACATCATTTTCACAAAAAAATGGTGTTGGAAACTAGTTAGTGTTTTCGTTTATTGCCGGTCGGTCTCCTCTGAAAATAAAAGGAGACCAATACGACTGAATATTCAGATGAGTCTACGCGAAGGGGCTCACAAGGCAATCAAAATTGAAATCGAAGTATGATGATGAAATATTTTTTTACAATTAATATTATACAACAAGATTTACAAAAACAATAATGTACATTGACTAAAAAAGTAGAAAATAAAATAAAATCTATGAAAAGATAACATAGTTGACCTTCACTTGAGTTATTTATTAGAATTTTGTTTTAAATTACTTTGTCTTATGTCAATAAGGAATTAAGTAAATAACTCTAATACTTTATGGTTTTTTCATAAAAGCACCTATTTTTTTATTGTAACTTGTGGAGTAAAGGTACGATCTATATTACCCTAGTTCAGGAAAAGTTACAGCAAAATATACAAAAAAAAAGAGAATAAATAAAATAAAATAAAACATGCTAACTAAAACTCTTCAAAGGAAAATAACTGTTCACTCCGAGGGAAATTGCATAATTTGGTTCTCTGTAAAGTGGAACAGAGCACTTATCTATTAGTTTTAAAACTTAAGTTTAAAATGAAGATTGGAAAAGCTGTTTAAATTATAATCTACAAACAGAATTAGTGGAGCAGCTTTTAAACTAGCTGACCGGTGAGGTGATGCATAGAAAAATACAATGGTTATAGTTATCTGAGTGATAATTTGATAAGAACAAAATTAATTGGATTCGTTACTAAATAGGTATGTTTAAGTTGATCTGGCATTAAGTTGACGAGAATCGCAAATACTATTTCACTTAGACAATATGTTCAAGACTGAAGGTTTTTTTTAGCAACGGGATACGTATAATTAGAAAGACGCAGAATGACAGAGCTAATCAAATCTACTGTTACAGGAATCTGAGGGATAAAAATTTATCTGTGTCATCCTCCGCTTTTTTGTAAAATAGGTAAAAACTTGAATGAACTTATGCGGATTTTTCTAAAACGATGTATATCGTAATGAAAACACTTAACATTATAGATGTGCATTACAGCTGGAGATTTTAGCAGCTGCTGAATTTCTTCGCCTTTGATGAGGCCATAGATTATTGACCTGAAAAAGAGTCGTTTCGCCAAATTTCATCACTTATAGTATTTTTTCTCGGACTTATTTTGATTTTGTATCACCTCGTCCATTACAAATGACATATCATTCAGAACTTGAAGTGTTATTCTAACAATAGTAAACTTTGTTATAAGTGGAATTAAGAATTGCAAAGGTTTTATTAAAAAATTATTGAGCCCATTTGTCTCAAACATAATTTTCCTCTTCTACTTATAGTTTTGTTAGCCTTGAACTTTAATGTAATTAATTTCACCTTCTATCTCTCTTTTTCAAATTGTTGTTTATGTAATTGTATGTTTGTTATTGTTGTTGTGTTGGTTATGCCATGTAAAATAAGTATTAAGAATAAGATTTCTCTCCAGTAATGAAATTCTGATATGACGGAAGCTATGATTCATATTATCTTCGGTTTTTGGCAATTCTACATACACATTGATTTCACTTCATTATGCTTTGGAAGTGAACTTTCAACAACTTCAACTATTTCTTTAAGCGCCATGCGCTGAAGGACCAGTCTTTCTTTTCAACACTGAGTACCTACTAAAACAGGAGCTAACAACGCCGTAGCATTAAAATCTATGATTTTTTTTTAAACGTTGAAAGCCAGTTCTGGGACGAAGATTCCATCTCCGCCTATCTCAGCTTTAAGAGAAAGAAAAAGGAAAGAAGGTAAGCCTTCTAAAGTCCTGTGCATCAAAAAGGTACTCGCCCATTTTCGTGACCAGCTCACGTCTTCAAGCCAATGCGATGTACTGATGCCTCCTGCGACCAGAGCGAAAATCCATCCTGACACTTCAAAGACGTCACTTTGTGGAAGCTCGAGTCAACCAATAAAAGTGATTCCGCAGCCGCACAATGATCCATGCGCTCCCCGAGGTATCATCTCGCTGGAAGGCGCTAAGCACGCTCCCTTACTCTCCGTGATGCAGTTCAACGCAGAGTGGTAAAGATTTACCAATCGTAAATTTTCATAAATAACCTAATACAAGATAACAGACATCTTCATCTGAGGTGGGCTTTGAAATTCAACATGATTGCTAGGACGAAGAGAATTAACCGGTGCAGCGGCTCAGGCAGCCTCCGCTGGAGAACCACTGGAGCCAGTGGAGGGGGTCGAGGAACTTGAGGGCTCGCCATGAGAGCTTTCAGGGGGAGGTTCAGCAGAGCCAGGCGGAGGACGACCAGTTTCTGCCTCTTGAGCGACTCGACTGCTCGAAGTGACGTCAAGCAAGGCTGTGGAGCTCCCGATAGCCGGCAGGGAGCGAGTCTCGTTTGCCAAGACGAGAAATTTCGCAGGAGAAGAATCGCAAGGGGAATCAAAAACGCAGCGGAGGCTCCCATCCTGAAAAAATATAATCATTCAGTATACTTTTAGAGTCGAACAGACCCTGCTCGGAAAGACATTTGCGGTGACTCGCTCCCTCAACCTCGAACCCAAAACCACGCGGAGATGATACACGACTTCTGAGACAGGAAATGAGTCGTGAAGGACCGTCAAAGTATTACGTGAGCTACTCGAAGGGAAGGGGGCACTGGAAAAAAACACATTGGATCTAGAGTCCAGACTCTAAAAAACATTGACAAGAAAAAATGCTCTTGATTCAATCGGACTTTTGTTTGAATCAAGACGAAATCCGCTTAAATTAAGAGGCTTGGTTCTTGATTTAAGTTAGATTCTGATTGAATCAAGAGTACTTTTCCTTGTCGATGTTTTTAAGAGTCTGGACTCTAGATCCAATGTGTTTTTTTCCAGTGGATCTGAGAATCCTTTACGTGTGGGGAGAGGTCAAGCCCAATATTGCGAAAGCTATTCTCTGTAAAGACAAATTAGTATTTTCCGATTAAAAAAAATTTTTTAGCTAATTTTCAGGATTCCTCCTTTTTTTTTAAAACATGGGGGGGAGTTGGAGGTAACGCCTGTTTTACGTAGTTAGATGGAGAGAGGGGTGCGAGATTCTCTACTAAGGTTGTCATACCAGGAGAAAGGGGTGCGGTTAAAAATTCGGCCCAAACACATACATGTCGCTTGATAGCCTTTTCTGGCACTCTATCGTACCTAACTGCCAAATTCCTTCTATCGAACCACAACCCTTCGGCCATCAGTGCCTTGACATTTTTGCTTCATTTCCGTCTCTCCAACCTCTCATTGGGCACCTTCCATGCCTTCGTTCAGGAGGGACCCAATCTAGGATCTTTTTTGGCAACCTATCTCCTGCCATTCTTTGAACGAGACCAATTTAATGCTTTTATTCGGCTCACGTTTCATCAACAATTATTAGAGTGATTACAGCGGTGGCTCGTTTCCCAAGTGATTCGCCTTCAAAACTCGGGCAGGCAAAAATGCTTGCAGTAAATTTTGCAAAATTCAAACAGAGCCGAATTCACATTTTTAGCATCTCTCGGCTATACTTTGTTTGACGATCCGAAATGACAAATCTGGCCCTGATGACCATATGGTATAAGTTGTTTCGTTATAAAGCCTCGCTTGATCGATTCAGCCTTATTGCCTCACGTAATATTTGAGCGGTCCCCTAGAGGAACTGGATGTCAAAATAAAAAAAGCTACAACTAAACCCCCCCCCCCATTTTTGTGTCTTCCTCTTTTTCATTTCCATTGGTAGGAGCGACTCATTCTGATGTAAGTATCTCGAAAAAATGTGTTCAATGTCAGTCTGAAGTTTTTTGGCCACTTACGGTAAAAATGAATGTTAGTGGTTACTAGATTTCTAACCATGTATGATCCCCAGGAATACTGGTTGCTAGTATAAGATTCCTGATAGTGTCTATTACACGGCTGGCAAAAGGGACCGGATACTTGATTAATAGAAATAAAAATCTAGCACTGGGTACTAGATTTTTAAGAATCATAAGCAATCAGGAATTTAGTAACCACGACTAATCTGTTTCATCCATGCTGTGCTGATGATGAAATACGTGTCGCAGGCAGTCAGCACTCACCGGTAATTTGCGTGTCAACTCGTCAAATTGCAATGATTCGCATCGATATTGTAACGGTTTTATTGATAGAGAGCCTCGAACAAACTCGGCTTGAAGCGCCTTCAAATCCCGGCGATACTCTCAGCTTTGCCGGGAAGTTAGTTTAGTTGCTTAACCTAACCAAACCCAACTGAGGTCACTGATTTCACTACTTGCACTCTGAAAGCTGTTACCTTGCATTCAAGGGGGAAAAAGTCTGTTTGAATTCCAAGCAAAATAATCAGTATTATCGATACTGTCCTTTTACTTCTGGATTTTTACACGATTTTATTCAACGCAACTAAGACAGCCTGTGTCACACTATCAAAATACTCCGTCAAAATATCAAGGTTAGGTGATGTGATTGGCTCATTCGACAAATTGGACCAATCAACGCACTTGACCTCGACATTTTGATGGAGTATTTTGATGGTGCACTGGAAAAAACACATTGGATCAAGAGTACAGACTCTTAAAAACATCGACAAGAAAAAGTCCTCTTGATTCAACCAGAATCCAGCTTAAATAAAGAACCAAGCCTCTTAATTTAAGCGGATTACGTTTAGATTCAAGCAAAAATCCGATTAAATCAAGAGTATTTTTTCTTGTCAATGTTTTCAAGAGTCTGGACTCTAGATCCAATGTGTTTTTTTTCCCCAATGTGTGACACAGGCAATTGCAATTTGCCGATGATTGCTGGTTGCCTGCGAAATGTACAATGCAAACTATTCTCACAACTGATCATCTTTTACACCGCAGACTGAACGGTAAACACATTTTTCCGAGTGATGTTTGACCATTTAACTCGACTCAATAGAAGGAATTTCGGAACGCCGTTTCATCGTGAAGTGGATTGGGTTCGAGGCTCTGCGATGCCCATACTGCCGTACTAAGAAAGAACGCCGTATGAACCTTCAAGTGTTGCCAAAGTTCCTTTGATAAAACACGAATTTCCTGGTAAACTTATGAATATTTTTCTTCCAATTTTTCAGCTAATTTCGCACATAATTCCACCGAAAAGTCCTGAAAATTTCAAGGAAAAATATTCTTAACTTTCATCAGAAAAGAACATTTTATCGAAGGAAATTTGGCAACTCTCGAATGTTCATACGGCGTTCTTCCCTTGCACTGAAGCATACGAATCGTTTGTTATTCTTAAAAACACGTAGAGACTCATGCAAACAGAAACCGAAAAGTTCCATTCAACAAGTATTAGTCCACCAGAAGTTGCATTGTTAGACGTCAGAACGTAAAGGTAACATTCTCAAAATAACACTTAAGAGTCATGTTTTGGTTTTCCATGCACCGTTATGGTTGACATTTCATGCGACAGAAATGCAAACACAGGTCGACAAGCGAGGCTCTCGGCGATGAAGAAAAGAAACATTATCCGCGTCATTGAGCTTTCAAATTGAAGTTCAAAGACTTCATGAGATGACTGACTCCCAAATCCATGTATATTTTAGTTTCAAATCTAAGAAAACCCCCTTTTTCATTAGACCGCATGTTAATTATATTCGTTGTTCTCTCTACAATACTCGCACAATGAGGAAATTAATAAATTAAAAGTAACATCCACGCACAAATTTCCCGTCAATTCTTATTATTATGTATTTTCATAATTTGCTCGCGATAATTATCGATTTCCTCAGTATAAAAAATTCTCCTGTCATTTGCACAAATTATAACTTATGATACAAACACGATAAGTAATTTTACTCTAAAAGACAATGAGTCAGTTGCGCTGGTCGCAGAATCGTGTTTTGATGCTTGATTCTTTTAAATTAGCTAGAAATAATAAGATCTGTCCAAACAGCAACTTTCTGCGATGAATATTGACCGTTGCATTACGCCTTAAAAAACTTGATTTATGACGTCATCCACCGCGGTAGAATATACCGTGTTAAGCACAACCGCGGTGGATGACGTCAAAAACCCTATTTTTCAAGGGGCGATATCTCGGTTAATATTGAACGTAGAAAGTTGCTACTGTTTGGACAGATCTTATCATTTTTAGCTAATCTTCAAGATTCGAGCATCAAGATACGATTCTATGACCAGCGCAACTGGCCCATTTTCGTCAATTCTCCCTAATGTGTATTTTCATAATTTGTTCGGGATAGTTATCAACTTCCACTTTAAAAAAAAAATTCTCCAGTCATTTGCACTAATTATAACTGATTATACGAGCACGATAGGTACTTTCATGATAAAGAGAATTAGCGGGAAACATCAAGAGATTTAGGTAATTCAGTTGCCTCTCAATTTATATCTTTGAGAACCGAAGAGCTTACGCTTCCAATTTTTAAGATGTTAAATAGTAATAATTTAAAAGATGTTCAGATCTGAATTGCTGTAGGATTCAACTATTTTTTCGAAAATACAAATATTTCAATAGATTGTGTGGTTCGAAGTTTCCGTGGCTTAAATATTGGAATCCGTATACTGAAATATTATATTAGGTCTGTTTTTTCCTCCAATAGAAAAAGACATTTGCTATGTAGATCGTATTATTTCGCCGGTTTTGCCTCTTTGTTAGTTTAAGCGATGGCTGGAAAGCATAAGCAGAAACAGTAAAAAAAGAGGGGGAAAATTATTAAGCTATAAACGAAGGGGCACGAGAGTATGTATCACGAATGTACCAGTTTTACCAGTTTTATTCATTGTACCTTTGTTCAATTTTTTACTCAGAAAGTGCATGTTGAACTGATTTTATTAAAGGGTAAGTATCATTATTTAGAAACTATAATTGGACCGCGTTTAGCAGAAAGGAACTAAGCAAAATCAACTATTGCCAAATTTAATCGGGCACTTTAATTGTTTACGAGAGGACGTTCGTGCGGATTTCTTTGGAAATTTTGAGGAATTTGCCTCGTTTAATGCAGAAAATTCACTGACATTTGCACAAAAATCCGCACATCCGTTTTCATGTAAAATATGAAGTTGCTCAATTAAAGCTGGCAGTAGTTAATTTGGCTTGGTTTTTTTCTCCTTAACGCGGTCCAATTCTAATTTCAAAAAAGGAGCGTTTTTGATTTAAAACACCAATGCAACTGTGCGTCACTCGACATTCTCTCGTGCCAGCTTGGTTAGTAGAAAAAATTGACATAAATAAAATGAAAATAAATGGTGTTGTTTTGCAGGGCGTAAGTGTAGGATTTAGGTGATTTACCGATGCACACAACACGCGTAATTGCTCACCAGTTGGACGCAGAAGGGCACCTGTGAACAGAAATAAGCGTACGGATAAGAACACATTTCTTCAGAAGAAAAAAATATCGCAAAAAATTTGATGAGCACTGTTTGGTCCAAGTCGGGATTGTCAAGAAATTATCTATAATATCAGAATATTAATTTAGGAGTAAACGGTTAAAAAAGTTATTCCCCTTGTAAAAATTGGCAGTAGAATCTGTGTTCCAAAGTACCATGGACCTAAAGCCGGCTGTAAGATTTCCAATAGCTTCTGTAGCCGGCTGTACAATTTCTTATAGCCTTTTATAGCCGATGACGACTAAGCAACAGCCAGACGATAAAGTGTATGCTAAACGGCACTAAATACGGATACCAGGACTTAGTTAGTTTTTGGACTACCGCTCTCTTTTTGCGCCGTACTATCTTGATTTATTTTGTGAGGAAAGCTCCGTACTTTTGAAGGATGCCTGTCAATATGTTGGAGCGCCTTCAATTTCTTATGATACTGTGCAATACCTCTGGTGTGAAATAGTTGCTTCAGACGCCGTGGCAGGCTGCGGCGCGGCGGGCGGGCAGAGAGTGCGAAACGTGCATTGGCGCCTACAAACCTAACAGGGATACTTCACGCATTGCGCAATGCGTGAAGTATCCCTGTTAGGTTTGTAGGCGCCAGTGCGTTGCGGCTCCGCTTTGTGTTAGACTCTAATATTTAATCTCGCGGAGTCAGTGTTTTTCAACTCATGATTTTGAAATGTTTGCACACTCTGTATGGACTATTCTCATTTTAATTGATGAAAAAAAATATGTTTTAAAGGAAAATATAATGTGTGTTTTGTAAATATTAAGGTAATTCCGTATCAAACTTAATGATTTCCAAAGCACACGAATTTCTACACAATTTCTTATAGCCTTTTATATCCAATAGCGATAACGTGTAAAGCCCGGCGATAGGAACTATAGCCCGACTGTATACTTTTTTATCGCTTCGTATAGCCCGGCCGTATGATTTTCTCCGCTTTCTACAGCCAGCTATATGATTTCCAATAGCCTTCTTTAGTCGGCTAAAAGAACTTCTATGGTATTTTGCAGCTCCTATCACCAATTTTTACCAGGGTCGCCACAGCCAGCTGCAGGGGCCGGTAAAAAAAATGCTTTCATGTATACCGTATGGTAGTTACGATACTGTGGCACAACTGATGGTCATGACAACTATTTGGGCAGTTCTCGGTTACTTATAGCAAAGCTCATGTTGGTTGTTATATATATATACCAGATCTACTGTGTCCATTATTATAACTATGTCCATGCATTTATTGTAACCACTGCACGGTAACTGGCTCACTTATACCAGCCACTGGTCATGGCAACCATATTCTTTTTCCGTGTAAAGAGTATGTGCATCAAAGAGTTTCCTATATTTAAAACATACGAATTTAATGCTTATACTTAACTTATGAAAATGACTGAAACAGAGCATATTGCGGACCCTGGGAAGTTTTGACGAGTTGATTTTTGCGAACCAACTAAGACAATTACGATCGGGAAAAACTGGACCTAAATCAGACTGAAATTGGACTACATGACTTACCTTACAATTGCAGGTTGTACATTTGTCAATGTTCCAGTGATGGACGTCGTCTTGGTATCGGTGGGCGAAGGGACAGGGCAGGGTGTAGTTAGAGGAAGTAAATTTGTTCTGGAAACAAGGGTCGTTGCGACACCTGGGGCAGCATTCGTCGGGTAGGATCTCCAGCTCCTGATCCGGACACGACAAAGGTGGGCACTCGACCGGCCAGCAGTCAACCTCTCCAAACTGGATGAAAAACCATAATTTTTGGTTAAATTGTATACCACGTGGCTGCCCAAACGGTACATTAAAACAAGAGCATGAGGGAATTTCCTATGAAATTGCCTTGGACGAAAGACGCCCAAATAAAATATCAAACAGAACTGGAGTTGAACGTAAAAACGTAGAGAGTAGCCTTCAGGGAAACTAATTTAAAATTAGATCTGCCATGTCTGGGGCACCATATTGCCGGATTATAATGCACACCGGAAAAAAGCCTCTTGAATCCAGAGTCGAGATTTTTTAAAAAATTCGACACAGGACGTACTTTTGATTTGCGCGCGGATTTATGTTTGGATCAAGGGCCCGTGCCTCTTAATTTGAGCGAATTTCCTTTTGATTGAAGAAAAAATCCGGTTGAAAGTATTTTTTGTCAATTTTTTTAAAAGTCTGGACTCTGGACCGAGAGACTTTTTTCCAGTGCAATTTAATGTATTCTATCGGTGTGAAAATGTACTACACCATTTGGAGCTTACACTGGGGAAAAAACACATTGGATCTAGAGTCCAGACTCTTGAAAACATTGACAAGAAAGAATACTCTTGATTCAATCAGATTTTTGCTTAAATAAAAAATCTGTTCTTTTTACCCAACTCGTCAAACCCGCGCTGCCGGAAATTTGGCCTCCGTATTTTACGGCACGTCTACAGGATCAATCGACGTTTTGTCCATTATCTAAAACATCCTAATCCAGTTATGTCTGAAGTGCAAGGAGTTAGTTTTAGGGCGGCATTTACTTACCAAACATTCGCAAGTTTGGCACTGATATACCCATGTGTCGCCACTTTTGAAAACGACATGGCTGAGCTCTTGATGCCTGCATGATGCACTTGGATTACACATGGGGCAGCATTTGTTCTCTCGACTCTCGGCTTGAGCACAATCACAAACAATGGGAGCGCAGCTCACTATTCCTTCATGACATTTGCACTGACTGCATTCCGAGCCGCTAAACGTTTCGCCATTCCTTACTTCTTTACCGTTGACCATGCAACCTGAAAGTTTTTAAAATGATCAAATACAAATTTTTCAAAATCAAATAGAAAATTGGCAATCGTATTTTTTGCATACACGTTAAGTAGGGAGTAATGCTTCTTCAAGAAAATTAGTGCGCATCATTTTTAATCCATACATTTGTCATTAACCACATAGGACAGAGCTGGCATCTAATTTCGGGAAACCCCCAGCTGGAAAGAGAGGGTTCAGGGGGGGCCTCCGCCGGAAAATTTCAGAATTAAAGGTTCTAGGGATGCATTTGAGCTTACTCAAAGTAAATTTCAAGCATTTTAAATATCTTTAATTATGACGCCAAAATACCTAAATTTTCAATTTCCTGAGTTACAAAAGTTACACACAAGAGATGGGACAAAGAGACCCATGAGACTGCGAGAAAGTTCCTCAATCTTGGATGAGACGCAAAAATGTTGCTCACTCGTGAAGTCCCGATACAGATTAACAAATTGCTCCGGTACCTCAAAAACTTTACAGCCAATGGGTCAGTTGGGCTGACGGTCTCAGAATCGTGGTTTGATGCTTGATTCTTGTAGATCAGCTAACAGTAATGAGAGCTGCCCAAACAGCAACTTTCTAACTTCATTAGTAACCAAGATATCGCGCTTTGAAAAATTCGATTTATGACGGCACCCACCGCCGTAGTGACAAAGCGACACCCTTGGTTTCATCAATCGGGCAAACACACATTTGTTTTTGTTTCTCAATTTGTAACTTGGATGAAAGCAAGGTGGAGGAAACTAAGGGTGTCACTACCGCGGTGGATATTGCGTATTTTTCAAAGCGCGATGTCTCGGTTAATATTAAACGTAGAAAGTTGCTGTTTGGACAGATCTTATTATTTTTAGCTTATCTGCAAAGATCAAGCATCAACATAAAGCGCAACTGACGCATTCGCCTCAGATGAGCTAGAGCCCCGGGACAAGAGTCCCGTGTGTCCCGCTTGGAGTAGAACTGCTAAAAATCGTTCTTCCTATGTCCATGGCCGGATTTACCTACTTGCCGCCCATGGGCCGCCTGTATTTTGCCGCCCTCTTCTCATTCATTTTGAAACATCAATAAAAACCATCAAGTGAACGTGCCGGAGGGAGAAGGGTGCATAAGACGCGTTTACTCGTGTTGGACACATTTTTTGCGTAAGCCTTGTCAACACAATTAGCAAAAGTTCACGGAGCTTCGCCCGAAAGTTCAGTTCCGTAAACCTATCTCAGTGGGGACAAGGTCTTTCATTTTTAAGAAATGAACTACAAAATTAAGAAAGAACAAACATAAATGTGGTTTAATAATTTTAACTTCCGCCGCCGTGCCGCATGCCGCGCTGACCACTCTGTGTTTGGCGCAATGCGTGAAGTATTCATGTGGTCTTGTAGGCACTGTGCGTTTCACGCCGCGCCGACCGCTGTTGACCGCACTGTGTTTGACGCAATGCGTGAAGTATTCATGCTGTCTCGTAGGCGCTAATATGTGTTACGTGCCGACCGCCGCGCCGCGTCGAGGGTTTCTCCTTTTCATCTCAAGTCCTCGTCATCATTTCTCTTTGCGCCGCGCCGCTCCAGGCCAAATTACGTGTTTGGTTTCTCTCTTAACTCAACTAATTAAAGGCGCGCAGTCTTTTGTATCACCGAAATACGACAAAATTGGAAATTAATGAATTCTCAGGAAGTGAGAGGTTTTGTCACCTTTTCTTGTTTGTAATTTCTTTCTGAATCCGATTTTTTTTGTACCTGCATTTAAAAAAATTGCAAAATTTTCCGCCCCCTAATTTTGCCGCCATGGGCCGCGGCCCATGTGGCCACCCCCTTAATCCGACCCTGTCCATGTCACGTAAGTGACAATTTTCAACTTGATTCCCGCAAGTTTCAGTAAAAGTACATTTTTATATGTATTCTCAAATTATCTATGAGTTAATTGGAAGATAAGAAAAAACTTTGTACTTTATATAGATTTTTAAAAATGTTTAATCTTCTTTAAGTTTGTTTTCCCCCATATAAATTGAATATATAAATCATACGAGAAACAAACTTACTTAGTTTACATTCTGTTGCAGGATTTTGGGATTGAGCGTGCTGACAAGAGCACTTGAAGGCGCCATCGGTGTTAATGCATTCGGCACTAGGATGACACGAGTGTATTTCTTCTTGACACTCGTCCACGTCTGAAATCATTTCAAAATTATAATTTTACGAAATAAGTCTTTAAAGCAATGATTTTGCAAATACGTTAATGGACGAGTAAATTAATTATTTTGAAAAATTATTAACTACAATTATATGCTCGATTACCCCTCCTTTTTCCTAGAAGCGGCTTGGAGTCTGGACAGACATCAAACAAATGGACGTATTTCTGTCAAACGGAACTATGTGCATTATGGCGTGAGCCCTGTTATGCATATATTTTCATGGGTCTCAGGGCTCATGTCTTAATGCACATAGTTCCGTTTGGCATAAATACATTCAAATGAAAGCATCTACGGTTGCTCGGTGGAATGAGCTGCACACTAAAATTTTAGTAATGTGTTGTTTACCGTGGGTTTATTTTGCTATTAACAACAGCACCTTTGAGCTTCATAGAACTGGCACTATGGTATCATTAATGCAAAGCCTCTGTAAATCTAGCTCGTTGAGCGCAAACTTCGTGATTAGATTGTTTCTATATGTGCCGCGCAATGCATACTTGCCGAAATGCAGGCGCATTTACACTCACGCTTCACCAGCGTTTCCTTCTAGGAATATTATAGGGCACCTCTTCAAGTGAAACGTATTTGTGATGACTGTCTACAGGGAAAGGTATTAATGTATATGGGGGTAATCTCCTCAGTAAAGCGATTTTTTTTCGAGTTGGTTCGAAAGATTAGACTTTGAGATTTCGACAAAAAACTACCTATGGTGCCCTGAATATTAGGTCAAGAGCAGTTTAGTCAATTTTTGTTCCAAACAGACATGAAATTGCATTATAAGCCGAGAATTTTGCGAACCAAATATGGAAAATCATATTTTTCAATGTCACTTTCTTGAAACTAAATTTGTCTTGAACTACAAACTTTGAACGGCCTTAACTTCATCTTAGTTGCACGCTATTGGTCGTGGTCGTTTTTTCTATCTAAAGAAAATGTATATAGCACTTTTCTACGCTTTGATACCGACTACTTAATTTTTGGCTTTTGTAGACTAAACCGTTCACAGCCATTTTGGTAACCGTTCATGAAAAAAGTACCAATTAACCCACGCAAACATGCAAATTCGAGTCACAACAATTTGAAAATGTGAAGACAAAAACCGTCCCAAAATGTAAAAAAAAAACCAAGGTTATGGCAATTCGCAATGCACGCAGTTCAAAACAAGCAGTGAACTCCAACACAATGTGTTGATAAGGCGCGTCATTAACTCGCACATATCAACCCCTTTAGTTTTCATTTACAGAGATTTCAAAATAGGCAAACAGCATAAAAAGAGAATTCACGATCCAACACTGCGAGGTCAAAGACGCACCTTGACGAGACCGTGTATTGTGAAAGTAGAAAGCTATTCGATCGAATTTAAGTTTTTTGATCTGCCTCAAGCAAAATCTTATCAGATTCTTGAAGAAAAGTGCTACGGAATAATTTAAGCGAAGAAAGGAAAAATTCTGTCGAACTCCTAGAAGATAAAGTCGATTTAAAGGTATTTTGGGGCTAAAATACCCAAATCACCGGTAGTAAAAATCCCGTTATATTATTGAAAAGAAATTGACTCGATATAAATGCAATTGCATTAAATACGTCTTGATTTTGTTATTTTAAACGTCTTTCCATGCAAAGAAGTTCAACCATGTCGTTGCTTTATTCATTCATGAATTGAAAGTAAGCAATCTACATCCCGAAAATCTACTGATTTGCCGTAAAAAATTGCAGAAACTTGATATACCAGGTCGATGCACCCACTCGTTGAATTTACCAACCAATTTTGTGAGTGCAAATGTGTAAGAATCAATATGCTATAGTCATTTTGGGTGCATTTATTTTTCATGAAACAATAATAATTTCAATCCCGAAAAACCATCAATTTTCCGTATAAAATCGAAAAAATCAAAATATGTCAACTCCCCGACGTGAAAATTAGATTCTACGTATGTAAAATGTAAATACTTATGTATCGATATGCTGAACAGAACTATGTGTGGACAGTCAGAAGCCCGCGGCAACATTAATTCAACAGAAAAACTGTAAAAATTAGATAGGATTTTAGCCGCTTTGCCCGCCTCTCCTCGCTACTTACAACAAACCGTTCTTATACTCATCTCAAAATTTTTCTCAGAGCTTTGGGTTATTATCAGCTTCCATTTAAACTCCGGTTCGATGGCCGAATCGGCTGCCAAAAAAGCAAGCCACTGTTGAGGGGTTCTATGAGAAATTCGTGATATTATCGGCTCTCAGGAAATCACCCCATGGCTAAAATTGGTGGTATAAATGTTTAAGTGCTTAAAATAATCGTATTCAAGAAACTAAGGAATTAAACTATGGAGTCAATTTCTTTTTAATAATATAACGAATTTACTACCGGTGATTTAGCTATTATAGCCCCAGAATACTTTTAAAGCGCCTTTGCGTTCCAGAATCTCGACGGAATTTTTTTTTTTTTTTTTTTTGCTTAAACGATTCAAGAAACATTGTAGTTAAAAATATAAAGATTTTTCGATTTGGACGTATGAAAAATGTTTAACTCGTTCAGGCACACCGTGTATTGTATGGAGTACTGCTGTTATTCGACCGTTGTCTTCAGGTCAAAATTCTTACAAAGAAGCCCCTTGCAAGAGGCAAATTTTTTGTAATTTCTCCCAGTTTTTTCAGCGTTAGGTATATAAATGAATTGTTTGTCAAATTTTGAGGTCAATTATATTTAATTGTAATTTATACTTTCTTTTTTTCCCCTTCATTTTATTTTTCGTATCGAGGAGTCGAGGTTTTGTTGATTTCTTCGGATTTCGATTACTGTAACTTCTCTTCTATTCGGCCGATTTTTATGAATGAGGTCTCTTTTTATTTGTGTTTTAACGGAGAGTAAGGAAAAAATTGCTAAATACATGCGAAACAATTTTTTTTGAAAATTGGATGAATCCTAGCGTGACGGTGAAATGGTTAATGAAGCGTGAGTAATTGGGGTACGGGTATCGGCCGCGTTGGGACCCAAGGCCCATTGTTCTTCGTGACGCCGACGCAGTGATCAGGAGCGTGGGGACGAGAGGGCTTAGTGGACTCCTGTATGAGCCACGTTTAGCAAATGGTCTAATGAGTCTCGAGGCTCATCACAGATTGCACTTACCACTATCCTGGTGGCCCCGGCTATCAGAGCAAGGAGTACCAACTTTTGAAAAGGATAACAGTGTTGTGGAGATATGTCAAAGCAACGTTGTGAACAAAACGGAGTGAGTGAAATTCTCATTCAAGGAGTGCCGAACTGGTCAGCCATCCTCGAATCAGTTCGCTTGCTTCCGCTTATATATGCATATTTTAAATCAGCGCGCCCCATTCTAAGGTTTTTTTAAAAAAAACCAAGAAACGTAGACTCTTGGTATTCATTACACATAAACTAGCGAGCCCCAGAATGAGAAACAAATTTTAATCATTATTATTGACGGATTAGTAAACTTTTTACACGCTTTGGAAAATCTCAGAAGTTCGCGGTAGTCACTTTTCGGTAAGGAACTAGGGGACTCGGTTATTGTATCGAGGGGGGGGTCGAAACGATCGCAAAGGCGGTATACTACGTATACGCGCCAAAAAGCAGTTTCCAGAAATATTATATTGTCATAATATGAATTACACTGTCTTCAGGCAGTGTCTGTAATTCGTGTCTCAAAGAATAAGGCATGACTTATCCACGAGTACACTTGATTTTACGACCCAACTCGACGAAATTTGCTCCACCGAAAATTTGTCCTCGTGGAAATATGTCTTTTCTCCATGGCCGGTCCGATCACATTTTACGACATACCACTAGATTTATTCATCGATAACTTATACATTTGGGGTTGATTTGAAGAGAACTTACCTAAGCACGTGGTTCCAAGTCCGTGTTCTAAAGTAATATTGCTTCGGTAACCAGGTTTGCATGTACAATAATACCAACCGGGCATGTTGACACACATGGAACCGTGTTGGCAAGCGTGCATGCCGGCGGCACACTCGTCGAAGTCCAGCTCGCAGCTGTGCCCGTGATACCCGGTCCGACACTGACAAACTCCCGGCGATACACACTCACCGCCGTTCTGACACGATTGCTTGCAGACCGCTGAAATTTCATTCATTCATTCATTTAAATTTCATTTCTTCCTTAAATTAAAATTAAAGTGTAAGTTTTAACTTCGCAGTTCCATAGCAGGCCTTTCAAAGTAGCACACACTGGGGAAAAAGCCTCTTGGATCCAGAATCCAGATTAAATCATTTGACAAGAAACAAAAAAACAAGAAAATTTTGACAAAATTCAATCAGATTTTTGCTTGGCTCAAAAGGAAATCCGCTTAAATTACGAGGTTTCGCTCTCGATTCAAGCAAAAATACGGTTGGATCAAGGGTACATTTTCTTGTCAATTTATTTAAAAATCTGAACTGTGGACCCGAGAGACTTTTTTCCAGTGCAGGTTGTTGAATTGCAAATATACATATGGTCAAATCATTTAAGCTGCATCTGAGTGTTGTGCTTTTTGCCTAGCTAGTAGTTGAAGGGGTTCCTCTTGTTGCAATGAAATTGAAATATGTTGGAATTTTTCAATGCATTGGAAATTGTCTGTATTTATGACACACAGAGATCATTTTATTAATCGTTAAAATTGCTTTGATCAACCGAATAATGAAAAAATATTGCAATTTATGTAAAAAATTGCACTTTTATCGCAATGGACCTCAGTTTTACTAGTATTTCAATATTTTAATTCTCTCAACTGTGCTGCTTTGGTGGTTACGGATTACAGTGTAGAAAACTAAAGGATCTACTCCATTTTCTCAAAGGCTAAAGGTCTAATTCAGGGAACAATGGGTGAAATAATTTTAGACTGTCAAACACCCTTTAATGTTCTCACATTCCAAGAAATCATTTGGATCATTTTAAGACAAATGAATCACCGGCCCTAAGGGGGAGTCAATGGGGGAAAAACACAACATTATGATAATACCTACACTAACTGAAAGTCTGAAGTCATTGTCAGACATTGGCCGAGAGTCTGACAGTCACTTTGAGAAAATTCGGGAAATTTTACTAATCCTCGCCCCTCCTTCGTAAACTGCTACATTTCATCGTTTTCCTCACGAAAGAACGCAACTACGTTTCAGTGTTGTCAAATTTCCCTTCGAAAACTGCAGTTTCACCCGGGAGAGTGCTGCGCAATTCTAACAAAGAATTTCACTGATTTTCTCTGATGCAAAAATAAAAAAAAATTGTAGACGACAATAATTGCGCACTTGCATTTTTGTAAAAAGTTAATCTGTTTTAGTCAATTTTGCAACCATGGAATAGTGTTGGGTTCCTTCGTTCGGATAACGATGATTTAACGAGGGCATAATCCAACCAGATCTGGGCTTCAATTTAATGTGCTGGTTACACGCTCTTTCCATCAATTTCCGATCAAATGGTGATTGGTGCGCACCATCTACCATCAAATTTCTGCTGCCTGCAAAAATTTGATGGTAGATGATGGAGCTGTGGGGCTCATCCTTCATCTGATTTCCACAAAACCGTGCTTATTTCATGCTTATTTCAATCAACACGCTGTTTTAATTAATTTTACTCATCAATCTAGATAACTCTCGACCGCCATCTTGGTCATCATTTTGATCGGAATTTGACGGAAATTTGAGCGTGTAACCATAATTCTGCATGGACCATCTTTTTAACAAGGAGAAAAAATAGCTTGAAATATTCTGGTGAAAACTGATGAAGTTGAACTTACGGGAGCAGGAGAAGCCGTCGCCGGCGAAGCCATCGATACAAGTGCAAGCGTAGCTGCCGATGGTATTGTTGCAAACGGCGTTGGAGTCGCACCGATGGAGACCCGCTCCACACTCATCGAGCTCCACGCAGTTGAACCTGTCCAAACGCTCGAACCCTGCGTGACACTCGCATTCGTACGAACCCACCGTGTTCACGCACGTCGAGTGCTTTTGGCAGTGATGACCCTCTTCACCCCCTTCTTTCAAGCACTCGTCGATATCTAAAAATAAGGGACAACACATATAAAAGTAAAAACATTGTTCAAACAAGTAAAAATTATAAATGAGGGGCTTGGAGGACAAGGCGCATAAGTGCAGTTTCTGAAAAAAAATGAGATATTAATGATTTCAAGTAAAATTGAATCGAATACAGTGAAAAGGAACCAGAAACGGCCGGTAGAAAAGGAGGAGTATGCTCGTTATTGAAGGGCCGTAAAAATAAATGAGAATTACTGAGCGCCAGTGACGTCAGCGGCGACGATGAAGTCCGGGAACGACGACCCGAGGCATTAACTCATTGAGCCCTGTCTACACGGAGAAAAAAACTTTGTGCGTGGGACCCGAAGTTGAGGTCACATGGATCTCTGAAGTTTTCGGATCACGTATCTAAAAACTTGAGGTCCAGCTGCCGAAGTTCAGGTCAGATATCTGAAGTACCACGGTACATACCGAAGGGTTCGGGTCACACATCTGAAGTACTCCGGTACATACCGAAGTGCCTCGATGTCTGACCCGAACTTCGGCAGCTTGACCTAAAGTTTTTAGATACGTGATCCGAAAACTTCAGAGATCCATATGACCTCATCTTCGGTCCCACGCACGAAGTTTTTTTCTCCATGTGCAACGCTATCTTGTCACATGTCCAAGTGCCCATGGCTCATGAGTTAGCATACTTTGGCGTTTAGTTCCTTTTGATCTAATTGAAAATCCCACTTTTCCATTTCCCTAAAAGGAATCCCGCCCACTTTTACATTGTTTCTTATGCAGGTCAAACGAGCACATCCAATCTTTCCAATCCGTCTCTAGTTCCTTTTAGCATAGATGCGTAAATCTAGTCTTTAAGCATAATCTGTGAAAAATTCGCTTCCTGATTCAATTTTTAAGCACCAAAAAGCCAGTTTGAACTTTTTTTCGCCATAAGGATCCATGTAATTTCAAAACTTCAAACACGTATTTCTCGAACTTTTGGACGATCGGGACGATTTTTTTTGGAAGGAAGGTCAGAAACCTATAAAGACAAGAAGCTTTTGTTTGATGAAGCTTCATAAAAGAGGCATTGAACTCTCTAAAATTTTGGAACAATCAACACCCAATCAACAACATCACAAACCAAATTGTAGGTTAATCTTGAGTGGTGCTACCGGGAGGTGTAGCGGTATTTACCTATTCTTCGACCATATGACGCGCAATGAAACTCCTTCTGGTTTTAGTAGGTGAATTAAATAAGAGTCATAAGTATTCTCTTCAGGGTTCCAAACTAAGCGTAGGTGTAGTTTGGAGTGGGCGTAGGTGGAATTTTTTAATGACGCGCAATGAAACTCCTTATGTTTTTAGTGGGTAAATTAAGATAAGAGACATAATCTCTTCAGGGTGTCAAACCACGCGTAGGTGTACCTATAGTTTGGAGAGGGCGTAGGTGCAATTTTTTAATATGGCAGTATCGCTTGAAGTGATGATATGCGAAACTCGTTGAGGGACGCGGGCGATGCGCGATGTGACGCTAAAACTGATATCTTATAATAATATTTTAACAGCTGCATCATACTTTCTTGCTCCAAAAACTAATTTAAGCGGCAGGTGGTTTCAGGATCATGGGTCTTGTGACTGTTCAAGTGTTCAAGGCACCAAAGAAGACCCCGCTACCAATCATGCTTTTATGTCTGTTGTACACTAAAGTAACGTCTCAGTTGCAACTACACTTGACACTCTACGTATTGGAAGTGTACAAAAAGTGTAAGTAAAGCAATTCACAGTCATGTTGCATTAAGAAATGAAAAATGCGGAAGATCTGTAATGTTAGCAATCAAGTTATAGGATTTTATAATTTCACCTCCTATTTTCATTTATCTGAGTCGTGAAGGGGTTTTTTTTTTACTTGACTTAATTTCTTTCGCCAACAAATCATAACCCTCAAAAAAGATTTGACGTTCGGAACACTGACTTGAGGTCGCAGTTTGAGGACACTTGGTTCAACCGTTAAACTCAATGCAGTTAGTGTTACAGTCACCGAGTCTCCACTAGCTGAACAGATTTTTACTGAGTAAAGTTAGGATGAAATAGTCATAAATAGGAACCTAAAAAATAAGCCCCTAAATGAAGATAAAACCAATTGATATCCTTTTCCTACTTACCAGAGCATTTTACTCCATCACCGTAATATCCTGCGTTACAAAAGCACGCGAAAGTGGTATCCAAATTATGACAGCTAGCATTAACGTGGCAGTTGTGACCTTTCCCACAAAAATCAGTACCTGAAATAAAGAGAGAAAATTAAAAGGAAACTTTAGACTCATTATTTGGGTTAGTCTTGAATTTTGTTTCAGTCGAAGACAAGCCAATACTTTCCATACTTGATCAATAATGATTAACCAAGTGCAACTTTTTGAAGATAAGTTTACAATATGAAACGAACTAACTTATTACCATGAAAAAATAATAAACAAACCGCAAAGGAAAAAACCGCATCCAAGTGGGCGCGATTGGTTAAGAGGGACACCCCCAAAATTAGTATGCATACAGATAATCTTCTGATTTTTTTCTATTGACGAGATACATGATTCATGGAATAGAAAGACTTTTAAAAATATCGAAATCATACTATGAAACTCTTAATTTGATTAGGAATTTCACACATAGAGAATGAAAGGAGGAATAGCTGAGGGTAACATCATAAACAGGTTTAATCTTTATACTATACTAACGTGAGTTTGCCAATAAATATCAAATAATCAGCACATGGAAAGTCAGTGATATGAAAAAAATTACTTGCCATTTTTTTCATGGCATATGAGTTAAAGTCGTTAAAAATTCCAGTCTTTGGATGTCAAACTCGACTTTTTCGCGTTTCTTGTCAATTTTATCAAACTAGACGGAAGTAAAAATTGTTGAGTGATTATAGGTACATAAATTTTCGTTCAATACTTTTCACTGCTGTCTCCTTTGTATCTTCAAGAAAACAATGTTTTTTCAACATCAACTACTTTCTTATTTTTTTCACCAGTGCATGTTTCAGACAAAGGTGACAGTCACTCTCAATTGAACCGCGTTAAACAGAAAGAAACCAAGAGCCACATCAGGTACTGCCACATTTTAATTGACCAATTTAATCTTTTATATGAAAACGGTTGTACGGATATTCGTGCAAATTGCAGTGAATTTTCTCCAAAGTACGAGGCAAATTCCTTAAAATTTTCGAAGGAATTCGCACAAACGTTCTCGTAAAAAATTAAATTGCCCAGTTAAGTTTGGCCATGACTGATGTAGCTTGGTTCCTCACTGTTAAACACGGTCCAATGGAGATGTTGCATGTGTGAGGGATTTGCGATTTGACCATTGATACTAACGGAAAAGTTCGTGAGAAACACGATGGTGCCACTGGTTTTCTCTGAAATCATCTCCCAAGCTTAAAAAAAGCTCTCAAAGTGAGGCCAAAATGGAGGGGATATCCCACTCTACCCTAAGAGTCCTCGTCCACATCAAGACAAACTCTCCATGCAAAGATAGGGAGCAAATACATTAGCAAGGTTGCCATGTTTTCAGTTTTGGAGTTCCCATATAAAGTGGCCAGGCCCGCCACAAGGGGGGGGGGGATACTGGGTCCTTGGTACCGGGGCCCGGGCCCTGGAGGGGCCCGTGACGCAGGTGACAAACCACGAAGAATTCATGTGTAACCCTTGTCTCGTGGGGAAAAGTGAAAAAATTACCCTTAAAATTCCGCAAAAGGTGAATAAAGTTTCAAAAACACGCTAGGGCACTATACAATTTTTCTTACTTTTTTAGAGATTTTCAAGATTTTGAGTATATGTAGAATGATATTTTTAGTAACTGTGTTTCATTTTCTTCCGTTGTCGGATGCTAAGAGGCTCCTTTCTGGGCATCCTCGACTTCAATGGCTTAACTCCCTTGCCATAGACGTACGAAAGGGGAGTCCAGGGGGGCCCGGCTCCCCATAGAATTGAAAATTATCATCTGCCCCCTCAAAAAAAAAAGTTATAGATGTTTTGAATGCAACAATTCGAAAGTTTTTGGTGCTGAAAGTAAACAAAAAGGCGTAATTGTTCTGCAGAAATTGATGGAAAATCTCCATCATAAGAGCTTCATAATGCGTCCAAATAGATTTAAAATTTCAAAAATTTCCCGGGGGAGGCCCCCCGAACCCCCCCCCCCTGTGCTAGGGGCCCGGGCCAGAAAATTGGTACCAGGGCCCGAGATGGGATGTGGCGGGCCTGAAAGTGGCAGCCCTATCAGTGTATTTGCTCACTATCTTTGAATGGAGAGTTTGTCTTGATGTAGACGTGGACTCTCAGGGTAGGGTTGGATATCCCCTCCATATTGGCCTCAACTTTAGAGCTTTTTTTGAGCTTGGGAGTTGATTTCAGAGAAAACCAGTAGCTCCATTGTGTTTCTCGCGAACTTTTACATAAGAATCAACAGTCAAATCGCAAATTCCTTACACATGTAACATCTTCACCAGACGTATGCTCGAGCAGTGATGAGGAAGTGTAGTTACCTCGGCAGATTTTACAGCAGCGATCAAGAACATTGACTTGCTCAGAGGGAGGGCAGCTGAGTGGTGGACACATAGTCACTGGGTCGATGCGAGTGCATGTCATGGATCCATCCCTGCACTCGCACTCCACACACTGCTTCAAACTGACCTTGTCTCCGTGATCGAAGAAAGTATCCCGTAAGTAACATTGCTCTGTGACAAACCACACACTGTTATCAATCACCTTGGTGGCCAATTCAACAAACAAGTCATTTGGTATTAAATGACATCATTTTACAGTTAGGAAAAATCCGAATTACGAATTAATGTTTTTAATACAAAGGTTTTATACGTACTCCATTATTAAGCGAGAATGCTGAGCTGAGCCAGAGGCGGATCCAGAAATTTGGTAACACCTAATCCTCCATTTAAATCTATGTTAAATAATCGATTCTGATCGGAGTACCACGCCCCTCCAAGAATCTATATACATTTCTATGAATTTAAATGGAGAAAACGATTTTGCCAATTTGCTGGATCCGCCAATGTGCTGAACTCCTGTTCTCTTTCATAAAGAAAGAAATGAATAACAATAATAAAGAAGATCCTCTATTTGTAGCAAATCTGCAGTGTTCTAGGAGTGAAAGAGATGTTTTTTCCCCTCAAACATCAAAGCATACGTTTAAAGTAGCACACTGATTTGTTATTCAGGTGGCTTATTTGGTAAATTAATTTCACTGGGAATCGATTTATCAGGACATTTCCTTCGATCTCCTATTTAAATTGTACAAAAAGGATGGCAGGTTTTCAAAAACGGTGGCAGATATGAGTAGTTCTAAGGGATAAATAAAAATGGGACTATTGAATTCATTGGCTGGAATATAAATAAAACCTAATTTCTTTTCTTGGCTCGTCAATCATATATTACTCAAATTAAATTCCATTCAACGAATAAAGAAAATAACAGTAAATGCAGTTTTAAAGAAATAAATAAAAGAAAAAAAAAATCAGAACTCCATTCGAAAAGGTAAATTAGATTACTGATTGAAATTGGAAACGGATAGCGTGCAAATCCAAAAAAATTGATAATTTGTCGAAGTTTTTTAAGTTGATAAAAATTAAGAAGCTAAGAAACTTACTTAAACAGGTGGGGCAACATTCGCCAGGATTTAGAACAGGATTTTTACAATTAGTTGGTGCGCATTGGACCGGGCGGCACTGAACAGTCCCATGCTGCAAAATAAATATTAAAATTACTACATATTTATTATTGAAGGAATTACATATCATCACACTAGGACACCTCCATTCCATGCGCTTGTTCGCATGGAGTCACTTAATTGCAAGCCCCGTAGAAAAACTTGACCTCTCATATGTTTCCTCACCCTCTCAGTAATGCTCAGGGTTCATCAGTTAGGGTGAAAAATTCAGATTTTATCCCTTCCATACCTAGTATAAAATGTCGGAGGGTGGAATGACTAATGAGATTCTTCATTTCAAGTTCAGTAAAATCTCAAAACAATACAACAGAAGGGATGGCTCATCAGCTTTCGCGCATAGAAGTATATTGAGCATCTTTTTTCATTATTATGAAGAATATATTAGATCGTGAACTTTTTGGTTGATGAATGCACGAGAAGTGTGATCATTTTTAGTCTTGACGGTAAACGAAGATTAGGATTTTAAGAGGAGAAACGTGATAAAATGGTGGTGAGCTATCGGCTTAAAATTTACAACATCCCACAACAAGATTGATACCAATTTACGTTTAATGTCCTGTGTAGCTGTATCATTCATCATTATTTCCACCCCTCCGGTGACAAGTTGGAAATCTCGCCTCTCAGAGTTCTGTGGTCCGGTATCATGTAGCATCGTGTCTTATGTGTATAATGGACCTTCTCAACCCTCCCATAAAATCTTGATAACGTACTAAAAACTCTCTAGTTTGAAAAGGGGGTCTTTACACTACTCCGCAGATTGATTTTTAAACTATAATAAATCTTTACTAATTTCAGCACATTTAATTACAGGAATTCCAGTTACAATATTAATGCCTTAAGAATTCATTCAATCCTAAGCTGTTCAAAATAAGTTGACCATTATACTTAAAGGAGAGGGAAGTATATTTTTAACACGCCAATCGTTCAAATGTCTCGCTCCAGTTTTCCGTCTGCACATTGAAACTATTTGAGAGAATTTAATGATGATGGTTGCAACGCCGCTTAACACCGTTTTAACAAGAGAGGCGGGGGGTGGGTGATTAGCTTCAACCAATTCAATTACAGACAGGGGGAGTCTAGACTCATTAGCTCTCGTTTCTCGCTTTTGCACCCTTTTAAACCTCAGAAAGTTGAACTAACTAGCAACCCATCCCCAACTCTGACTGCCAATCCCTCTAAAGCACCTCGCAGCTTTTCCCTGAGCCAAATTTCGGTTTCCATTGAATCCCTTAAATTACTCAGCAGTGTCACAGAGTGCCTCACAGAGGATTTATTACACTGCCGATTACACATCCAATACCTGACACTATAAATTTACAATAATTAATTAGTTCATTAGTGTTTCTCTTATTTAAGTTTATTTTCAGTTATCTTTTTCCCCATAATAAACCCAATAACTATGGATTTACTGTAATACATGATTTCATCATCAGAGTTTCTCTTTTTTTCAAGTCCTGTGATAGTTTTGTGTGAAGGCGTAGTTGGTCATTGAGCATAAAATTATCGCCTAAAAAATATGCGATGGTGAATCCGTGACCTCTGACTGAGAAATCGTTAAACGTTTTCCTAATATTTTCATTCCAACATACTGAGCAAGCCAATAATGTGTAGTGATAGTTTTTGAACTCGCGGTGTTCTGTGCAAAACGTTAAAAGCTGTGAAGATCTGTAAATCGATGAAACTATAGAGTCAAATAGATCAAACTGAAATTCAATCAATGGTGCCATTAGCTGTTCAGTGGGTTAGTTTTGCATCGCACGGGGAAGGAAAATCACGAGGGTTTTTTTTTTTTTTTTTTTTTTTTTAAAAAAATTGACTTTAAGTAGTTTTCCATTCAAATAATAAAGTATAATAGGAAGTTCGGGACGTCGCAAACCGAGATACGTGGTTTGGGAGTTTTACGGTTAATATGTTACCCTTTGAGCTATATCAGTCACCCCAGGAGATTCTCATTAAAGCGATTAAATTCGGGGCTCATGTATAAACCATCATATAGACGTTGCATTTAAAGGAAGAAGAAAAATATGGAAGAAAGAGAGAACAAGAATTGATTTCTAAGCTACGAAGGACAAAAATGTGTAGAACGACCTTTGAAACACCTTTAAAAGCGAGTTTCTGTACCGCACGGCCGACCGTTAGTGAAACGCAACTGTTACATTAGGTTCAACACCTGGATACAACTATTCGCGCTCGACGATTGTCTGTGTTGCATAGACAATAATATGAAGGCGCACTGGCACTGGTACAATCTCAGAGATGCGGATTAATCTATGACAACGGTGAGATATCGTCACGGCTCGTGGAATATTACTTCTGATCGTAGTTTTTAGAATATAAGAGGAGTTTCAAGATTATGGGGGAACGATTATACAAAAGTCCTCAAGAATTGTATTGCTCTTAAGTGGGAAGTTGCTCAGGGCAAATGAGATTTTGCCGCCTCCTCTCCTCCTTTTAACAAAATTTTCTGGCCAGTTTTACGCTCTAAAAACTGGTTATGCTCAGCTTAATTTTTCCGCATTATTAGGGTGAGAATATAAGGGAGACTTACCGCACAAGTACAAATATCACAGTCATATTGCCAAGAAGCACCGCCCGCCACGACGCTTCCGTTAAAAGTGCAAGCTTTTTGACAATCGCACTCTTCCACACGGCCCATCCGGTCCTCCATTGTCTGTAGCTGAAATTTAGTACATAAATCAGTTAAAAACTTATCACACAGCTGAGGGGAGGAAGCAATTAAAAAGAGGGAAATATATTCAAGTATAGGTGTGCGGCATAACCAATAGTTACTCTAAGATGTTTAACAGTGAGGAATTACACTTCTTACTACTTTTTGAACCTTACGGATTTTTTTTACGGATTTTTGAACCTTTCCATACCAATACAGTCGCCTGAAGATGGGCGGCCTGCCCGCTTGAAATGGCCATAGTGCATAGAGAACAATAAGAAAGTAAGTGCTATATAATCGATTTTCTAAAAAAGTTTTATGTTAATCAAATCATTTGTGTAGTGCCGATAAAATTTTAAAAAAATGTGCAATATGCAACAACATGGTCTTACGACTTACATTTTCATTTCATCGTTTTCCATTGATGCGGTGATATTTTTTTACTTTAACTATTTTTGACCTCTCTCACGGAGCCTGGAGCAATTTGGAATTCAATTTTTTCTAATACACTCTCGGCAATAAAAGAAAATCACACACTATACTTGCCAATTCTTCTTATTTATCATTTCTTTTTGATTCCTAAACTTGCAAGTCCGTCAATCACGTCTCATTAAAAGAGAAAACAATTCCAACCAAAATTTGTTATGGTTGTCCTTTATAAAAATGCAGTTTGAGTTAACCTTTAGTAAGTGTCTTTAATTAAAGTATAATAATTGCGGAAAATTAATCTTAGTTCAGCTGCGTCATACGGGGGTCAGGAGGACAATTGACACACCCCCCCCCCCCCAATTTTAGAAGTCGCCTAGATCAAGAACAAGGAAAATCGATCAAACTTGCCGATAGCCTGATTTTTTTGAAACTTTTAATCATAGTTTATGAATCATGCCGTGAGAGTTGCGAAATTTTTGCGGAGAATTAGAAGTTAAATTTGGCAACATGTTATTTTGACTAGTAAGAAAAAGAGAAAAAAACGCCCTCCCCCCCCCCCCCCCCGGTTCAGTGAAATGACGCCGCTGCCTCAGTTAACACTACCATTCAGCGTAAAGTACAATTTTCATGTACGTCTGAACTCCATCTCTCTTCGCAATATTTTTAACGATTTGCTGAATTTCTCCGCTGAATATCCAGTTTCACTCAAAACGATAATAATGGTCCATGCTGAATGAAACATACACGCAAAACTTTTTGAAACGAGCAACTCATTCATTCATATAAAATTACAACAACCACAATCATCTTGCAATCAGAAGTCGTGAGCAAAATCTTTCCGCGTCATTTTTTCATGATGATAGAAGATGTGAGATGGAGGGTTAAAGGTCCTTGACCTTTCCCAAGCCGAAGTTTCGTCCAGACTTCGCGGCTACGTCATTACTCAAACTACTTGCAGTGGACCTCCTGTATTTTTATTGGCGAAACCTTTTCACTCATATCACTCTGCTCGGAATCGGAGGATGTAAGGATCACAGAGTAGGGTGATGCGGGTGAGGGAAGCGCTTTTGAGACTTGGACAAAGGCCAAAAGACTGAAATCCAGCACGTTGGCTATAAGAAGTGGATTAGAAAACGTTTGAAATGGTGGAGCGGCGTTTGGAACAGAATGTGACCATAAATTTTATAGTTGTATTAGTTCTGATGTCTAATGCGTTTTTTCTTGATCATGAAAACACATTCATCCATTGCACGATTCAAAATCATTGTTTCCGGGGATTTAAGTAATCTCTAAACTCCTGAGTCCATTTTATCTTTAATCGGAATTTCAAAGATACATCGAAACGAAGCTGGTGTGAAACCACTGCAACCAGAAACTGACAGTAATTCTTTACGTGCAACTACTCCTGTTCAATGACCATAAGTCGCAAAATTAAAAAAAAACAAAAACAAAAACAAAAACAAAAACATAAACATAGTGAGAAATAAAAACTGCAACTACCCTTACCCGCGCGACAAAAACGGGTCACGAATTCAGCGTACTTGTAAGTGGCTCATTATTTTTGACATTGTTACGGTATTTTATTCCTCAATTAACTTTCCAAAAGGCTGTTTCTGGATTGTCTTTGAGGGTGATCATTGAAAAATCAATGGATACGCACTGGGGAAAAAAAACACATTGGATCTAGCGTCCAGACTTTTGAAAACATTGACAAGAAAAAGGACTCTTGATTTAATCAGATTTAAGCTTAAATCAAAAGGAAATCCGCTCAAATTAAGAGGCTTGGTTCTTGATTTAAGCTTAAATCTGATTGAATCAAGAGTATTTGTTCTTGCCGATGTTTTTAAGAGTCTGGATTCTAGATCCAACGTGTTTTTTTCCAGTGTGTCTAATGAAAAAAACACTGTTTTTGTAAAATTATTAACATAACCATCAACATTATTGAGCAATGCAAATGTACCATCTAATCCTCAGGTGGGGCACACTTTACGCAGTGATTTTCTGTGCGCTTAAGTTACGCGCAACGATCTACATGAGATTGCTAGGTTACAGCTTACAGCTCACCGGATTCTCTCAAAGTTCCTTCACTTGGTCGGATATGCAATTTGCGCTCCGGAGAGTTAAAATAGTTGCTTGGGATCGAGTTGAACTTCTAACATCAGCGCATGAGCACATCACGCACTAAGTTATCTGCCCTCAGAGCATTGCCACAGGTAAATTTCCTATTGTAATTGTTTAAGAAATTCCTGGTATGCTTTCGCAATCTGCGCTACTTTTTATTCTAAAAAATGCCGATTTAAACCCGAAAAGGCTCCTCGCCTGAACAAGATAAGTAAGTTTCTTATTTCGCCGAGCTTATTATGCGCTGTGCGGAGAATTCATTTTATCTATTTTATTAGCTTGCTTGGTCGTCCATGCAAGAGCAGCACGGTGCGGCACAGTAATGGTGGAGAGATTTGCGACCATTTTTAATTAAAATACGTTAGTTTATGAAAAGTTTTCTTTTCAGTGGTTTTGGGGGGGAGATCAAAAGTTATGCAGAAATGCACTGTAGTAACCCATATTGAGAGGCTAGTTTGTTGAGTTATTAAAGTATAAAAGTTTACCCTAACCGGAATCTCCGAAGCAACAAGGGCCAAAATTTTAAAACGCTTCTTGAAACTTTTGGGACTTGAAATCCTCCTAAAATTGCATTGAGTTTTGAAGATTTGAATACACATACGGAGCCTCCCGAAAATGTTCAAGTCAAAACTATTTATAAAGATGCGTCTTCGAACTCTGGCCTTGGTACTTTCAGAACCTGGGGACAAAGACTTAGGAAAATTCAGAAAATTCAAGACTAAATTTTTGAAACAAGCATCTTCGTTGAATCTTGAAAAAAAATAGATGATTTGAATCGAACGAGTTTTTACATGCGGACTATCACTTAACTATGATTAATTCCTTGAATTGAATAGTTAATTTCCGTGTCAATGATTAAAACTACACCTAGTTGTACTTTCAATCAAACTGGTAAGTTGCGGATCATCGATTTACTGAAAGTTAATTCATTTTATCAGGTTTACAATTTCATTTCCAGTTGTAGTATCTACTCTTGACTTTATGCGCACCGTGTCATGCACTCTGATCTCCAAACTACCCTATGAGATGGACAGTTCATTCCTTCCCTAATCGCAAAGGGCTCAATCTTTAACTCACTTTAACTCAGAGATCAGCCGATTCATTCTACTCAAAAGTTTCACGGAAGTGGTCAGAATTTTACCGATTAATGTCAAGCGTGACCAAGAAAGCAGTTTCGTATAAACTGACAAAATTAAGACTTTGACTTACATCTAATAAGAGATAGAATCACTTACTGACCCTGTGGGAAAGTTGCTGTAGCCTTTCGGTGAGTTGCTCAACAGTATCTTGCAGGATGGCGAACTGGCCACAGGTCGGGCAGCTGGTATCGTGGTGAGGACACTGGTTCAAGTATCCATAAGGCCCCGCAATCAGTCTTACATCTTGCACCACCCCCTGTCAACAATCTCCTTAAATTAGATAAGCGTATCGTTGTTTTAGCCAAAAAATTACTTGACTCGTTTGAAAACGGCTTCATTCTCGAGGGAGTCCTTGACCTCTTTCCCTCTTTTTAAATTACATTTAACTGGTCATCTTAAGGTACATTCTAGTGTAAAGAAACTGTTCTTTCCAGTTTTTCAGTAGCGTTATATTTTTCAAGAACATCGAATTTTCAAACCTTTTACTCCACTATTCTCCCGATATTCCCTTCGTTGTGGGATAAGGGAAAAAGAAGGTAAAAAAAAGGTCCAAAAGGAGAGGACGAGGGAAAAGAGAGAGAAGAGGAAAAGGAGGAGGATAAAGAAGAAGAACAAGAAGAAGAGAAAGAATGAGGGAAAGAAGGAGAATATGAAGAATAGAAAGAAGCAGAAAATTAGGAAGAGAAACAAGATGAAAAGGAAGAAGAGAAGGAGAAAAACACTAAGAGGAGACATAATAGGATAGGAAAAAGAGAAAGAAGAAGAAAAAAAAGAGGAGAAAAAGAGAGACAGGAAGAAGAGGGAGAGGGAGGAAACGAAGGAGAAAAGGAGAAGAGGCAACAAAGAAGTAGGAAGAAGAGGAAGTAGGGAAGAAAGAGGGGAAGAAGAACAGGAATAGAGGAAGCCCAAGGAGAAGGAGACGACTACGGAGAAGAAGATAAGAAGATAGGAGAGAAGAGGGAAGGACAAAAAGGAGAATGAGGAAAAGAAGAAGGAGACGGAGAGAATGGAAATAACGGAGGTTTTGACAAGTGCGATACTTTGACCATGGTAGATGGTGTGCGACTTACCCTGAAGAGAGAGTGTAGTTTGTTCCGTTGGCCTATCCAGAGGGCAAGTTGAGGGGCGGTGAAGTTGGTGTCGGGGGTTCTCGAGAGGAGCCTCAAGTAGATAGGGTGGCAGTCGACCATGAGCTGGATCTGGGTGGCGCTGACGGTGACGGCCACCTTGTGCCACGTGTCGTCGGCCAGCCGATACGGGAACGTCTCCACGTGGACGCTCGAGTCGCCCCTGCTCGTGTAGTGCAGCCGGATCTCGTTTTTCCGACCACTCGATTGCAATTCTAAATACCTGCGATTGTTAAGAACAATTTAGTTCAAACAAAACCTCCTTCGTCACTCTCGAATCCTCCCACCCCCACACAGGTACTAAAAAAAATCCGGCCGTGCACTGAAAAAAAATTCTCGGCGTTTTTACCAAGGTCCGTTAGTACTTTCACCATCTCACTTTTTTTTACCAATTATTGGTAATTTTACCAAGACAGACTGGTAAGCTTACCTAAAAACCGGTATTTTTACTGTTTTACTCAGGTAAGAATACCACTTTGATTGGTAATCAATTCCCGGTAACTTTGCCATTTTATCTCGGTAATTCTACCACGCACAGTCGATAAAAAATATTGGCGTTTTTACCGGGGTCCAGTAAAATTACCGAGAAAGTCAATAATTTTACCGAGATTTCCCGGTAAAATTACCAGTTCCATAAATGGTTTTTTTACCAAGAAAAAACTGGGATCAAATAGAACCCTGAATTCTTGGTAATTTTACCCATTTCTTAGTAAATACACAGAGATTTTTTTTTCAGTGTGGAAGCCGTACTTACGGGCTACATAGACATGTACCGTCAACGTTCCGGGCTCAGAGGCCAGAAGTTCCGGACACCCGTAGCAGTCGGAACTTCGGCTCCAGTACCCGAAACTTTCGACTTTAGAGCCCGGAAGTTCCGGACGTAACACCCGTAGCAGTCGGAACTACGGCTCCAGTACCCGAAACTTTCGACTTCAGAGCCCGGAACGGACGGTACGTCTATAAAGCCCGTAACCTTTTTTTCAGTGCGGCATATACATATACAAGGAGAGACCCTGCATTAAAAATCTAAGCAATGTAATCGGCCGAGGAGACCCTTATGCTATACTATAAGGGTCTTCTCGGGACCCAGCTTCCATAATTTCTCTTTAAGGTACTTTGGGCAAGGTATGAAGTTAAACACGATGTTATACACGTTCCCTCCAAGAAAATTTACTTAGAAAGCAATTTAAGCTGCGGGAAGTTTTGAAATTAAAGTCTCAGTGAAATACTAAAATCCATACACTTAATACCGATCAAATGTCTTAACTCACAAATCAAACATGACATTCTATGCTTTTTTGCCATTCATCGATGAGTATGCACGTCTTATCACAATTCCAAAACTGCAAACTTCAGTAATCTTTAGACAATCAGAGAGTCATTACTGTGCATATCCGTGATGAATATTTTATTTTCACCATAAAGTTTTTCTCTTATCAGTGCAACCTGTGATCAGGATGACCTAATAATTTTGTATGTATATAACCCGTAAAATTCACCGTGATTAGTTTATCTTTATATTTTTGAAATTGAATAAGATGGCGAATGGCAGATAAAGGTGCAGAAAGTGCAAGAATAAAACGTGAACAATGAAAATTTCGTTGTATAACATGATCAAAAATGTATACCTATTGAATCCGTGAGAAAAGGCTATGATGGAACCAGAGTTAGCTTGTTCCTGCTTGAGCGATGCAGCTATAGTGAATTCGTTTCTGTGCTGTAGCAGCTCAACTGCCTGTAGGAACACGCTTTGAGGTAATTTCAGGTCTCTGTGATCGCCTGGAAAACACATCCTCCATTAAGAATCGATTACTTTAACTCGTGGGAGCACGATAATATGTGTCACAGCTTGTAAAAAATGGAAGTTAGTGGAACAATAGAAAATCCAAGGCCACAGCTGGGACTGCAACGTGGGGGTGTAATATTGGTAAAAAAGAGGGGCACAGTTTAATGGGCTACATGCAGAGTTAGCAAAAACTTCACAGGGGTGAGGGAAGGGAACAGGAACACAGTGCCCCTCCTAACAATAGACGACCGGGAAAGGAGAGAGAATTACGTAAAGTTAAAAACTCTGAGAAGTAAGAGGGATTCAGAAATCAAATTATGTCTCTTTAAAAAATAATAATTTATTTTTTCCGGGAAAAAGCTATTTAAATCGTTTAAAAATGCAACAATATGATGGAGGCCTCTTCTTTAACAGTGCTGCAAGTAATTTCCCAGATTTGTAAAGCTTTCTTAAGGTTATAATAACAATGGATATCAACAGATATTAATTTATTGGAGGATTTTTCGATCTTGCGCGTATCTAATTGAACGTATTACTGCCAAACGGAACTACGTGCATTATGACGTGAGCCCTGGTACGGACATATTATTGTGGGTCTCAGGGCTCATGTCTTAATGCACTTAGTTCCGTTTGGCAGAAATACGTCCGATTGCTTCATATGGAAATCACGTTATAAATAGTGTATTTCTATCGGAGGATACACTAAAAGTGGTATTATATTGCAAGTAGTCTGATGTATTATTCTAATTTGGTGAAATCCTTTAGTTTATCATTAGCGATAATGAAGGGTGGAAAAAACGCTGCTAGGTCAATGTGATTCATAAGTTCAGTACTATTTTTTTCAAAACTGGATGACAATCTTTTTCTTAAGCACAAGAATCGTGCTCCTAGATTTTTCAGCGATTTACAGGAATGCGAGGAAACTAAGACGTGAATTGATCGTTTCAGTGAAGACAAAAGCACAAAGGAACGTATTAAATTCTAATAGATGAATCTGACCTTGAAGGTAAAAAGCCGGACGAAGCCTTTGTGGTCCTGGAACCAAACTGACGCCCTGTCGACTTAAATTGTGCATTTGTAGAGATTCAAGTAAATCTATCCCCGGTGCAGGTCCTGCGTCAACTGAAACAGACAACATCGCTCGTTATAAGTTAATCTCCTTCCTTCTTCCAATTCAAAATATTAACAAATTATCAACTGACTGCTACAGCTACTGAAATTGTATTTCTTTTCAATTCTTGACCATAAGATATTACACGAGTATGTATGATCGTTATTTTAAGATTCACTCTGCTTTTAGAGTTACAGTAGGTTTTTAAAAAAAACGAATGAGCGATAGTATTAATTTTGATCTAGGTACATCGGCGGATCCAGCAAATCGACAACATTGTTTTTCTCCATTTAAACCTATGAAAATGTATCGACTCTTGGAGGAGCCAGGTGCTCCCACAAGAATCGATTGTTTAGCTAAAATAAAATCAGAGCAGAATCTTCAAAATCACTACAATTAAGCTGGTGGTTTCCAGGTTTAGCCATCATACGCAGTATCGATAACTGCTTCATATTTGAAGAATTTTCCTGAAGTATTAAATCGTTACGCGCCGGCCGGCCGGCAACACAATTTTGACGTACCTATGCTAAAAAGAACTATTTGAAAATAAACGAAATCAAAAGAAACTAAAATGAACGCAAATCCTTCGCTCACACTTCCCTTCAATTAAAATCATTTTTATAAAATTCCCCTAGGACAGATGCGTTCATTTAGAACTCCGAAGCTGGGCTAAGTATGCGCCTTAAAACTTTGAGTACTGCTGACAGTTCTTAGTTTCCCTTTGATTAAAGTACGTACTTCCCGGTGTATTCATTGTTCTCGACAAAATCAGGAATGATCCTGTGATTTTCGTGGAGGTCACAAGGCCGCGAAGCCGTAGTTCGAAGTTCATCCATTGAACCAAGCATGACTAGAATCGAAGTTCAAACAAAAATAAAACTCGGGCTTCGCAGACCTCTGCATCGTGATTTAATAAGTGTTGATACTGAGATGATGCACCGCGCCGTGCTGGTCGCGAGACGCGGGTCACGCGACTGCCTCGATGTTTGCAGCACTGCCATTTTAAGGCGCCGGTACTTTCACCAATTGTGTTGGAAAAAACGAGTGAGAGGGGCTGCATTTTATAAATGGGAACTGATAACACTATAGCAGTGGCGTGACGTGAATGATCAATTATCGATGTTTCCCCATTTGAAGCTGTGGTAAGAATCGATAATTAGGGTGTTCGTTGCGAACGCCCTGTATATCGATCCTTTACCGTTGGTTTAAATGGCAGATCAATCGATAAATCGCAAAGCACGCCACGCCACTGCACTATAGACGCTGGAAAAGCTGGAAGTGTACCTTGAATTTGTTTTCAAGGCTCACTGAAAAAAAGTTGTTTCGATCCAGAGTCCAGACTTTTTAGAAATTTTACAAGAAAAATACTCAAGATTCAATCGGATCCTTGCTTGAATCGAAAGCCTATCCTCTTCATTTAAACGGAATTCGGTTTGATTTAACCGAAAATCCGAATAAACCAAGAGTAACTTTTCTTGTCAATTTCTTTAAGAGTCTAGACTCTGGATCTAAGAGACTTTTTTCCTAGTAAGAAAAAACCGTTTGGATTTTCCAATATTTTTCTGCAAGATATGATACGCTACATAATTTTAGTATCCTTATTTTACGATTCGATCCTTCTTGCAGGATACAATCCAAGTGCCATGGAGAATTATTTTGCGAATTCACCGAAATTTGGCTGCCGATGAAAAAAATTATTCAGCAGATAAAATATCATTCTCCAAAACTGCATGTGAAAGTTTTTTTCAATCGGGTAGCTGGTTTACGGTCAATGAGTATATTATCTCGGTGTAGGCAGGTAAACCAGTTGAAATTCCTTGTTAGATCGAAAAATGGCTCTTCAGCTCGTTTGTATTACATTTTTTCCATGAAACAATGCATGGGTGCTCCATAAAATGTTCCATGAAGTGTATGCAAACCTGGGAAAATGTCCACTGAGAAGCAAAAATTGAAGAATTTTTCGTTAAAAAGGCGTATGAGACTAAGATTGTGCATCGTAGTTCTCTAGTTGTACGAAACTTATCCAACAGATCTGCTATGAATTTTTCCCTGAATTCGCTCCGATTTTTTCCTCACTAAGTCGATTGTGAATGAAGTTCATCTGCTGCAAACACTATAAAAAGTTCACATTTATAGCAGCATTGCAAGCCTTATACGCCCATTTATCAAAAAATGTCTCAATTATATTCGGTTGACTTTGCGTATTGTGAAATTTTTAGTTTTTAGATCCTTGAAAGTATTCTATAGAAAAGTGTATTCGGTAGTAAAGCATAGGCGATAGTAAGGTATGAAAGACGGTTCGTGAATTTTCAAGGCTAAACCGAGAAATTTTAGAAGCACATGTTCATACTGCTGTTAAATAGATACTCTAAGTACGTGAAGTGTGTTTGTATACGCACGCATAAAAGGTATCAGCGACATAAAGCTTAAATGAACGTATTTATGCTAAAAGGAACTATGTTCTACGCAATCCTTATGCACATAGTTCCTTTTAGCATAAATACGTCCAAATGAACCGCGATGACCTTACGAATTTCGCGTAAATTTTTTATGGCTTTCGCGGCCCGTGCTCGTTACGACTTAACGAGGTAAATATTTTTCCACGAGCATAGGTATGTCTTGTGTTTGAGTCCTTTTCGGCGCTGATAAATGTTTCAATCTTGGGTGCTTAAATATTTGGACGAATCTCAAAACAGGGTTGCAATTCCTCTAGGCAATTTGATCCCAAATTCGACGACTGAGATGATAAAAAATACTGACCTCCAAGCCAAGACATAATTTAAACAGGTGAGATGAGGCACGAAAAAATTCGCCGGGGCGGAATTGGGGTGGGGGGGGGGAGAGCGAAATTGGGCAATCCCCACATTAATAAGGCACATGAACCAAGGCTTGGTCCTGATAGGAATCTAAGATCAAAGTAGGAACTTTCCCTTTTCCGGGAACGGTGAATTTCCCTAAATGCCCAAAAAGTTCGACTGAAACTTACTTGCCCCGCAAAGATTGACAGAGAAGGAAACGCACATGCTTACCCTAGTGCACAGTCACTCACACCTGAGGAGCCTTCAAGAGGGCTCCCATTCCTCACACTTAACTTTCTCGAGATGCTTATTTATTTTGATCCCTATTCTGATGACCGATTTTTCCCGTGTACTTTCTTATTTTTCTTGGACATGAAATTTTTGCCTAAAACCGCAAATTTTGATGTTTATTTCGTCACATTTTAAATTATGAGGGGTGCATCCAGAAGAAAATGTCACGAAGAAACCAATGAAACCACTTTTAGAACCTCAAAGTTTTGTATTAACGGTTGTTACAAGCGTTTAAAGTTTCCGAATTTCGTCCGACCTTTCCCATTGACTCGATCCACTGAGGGGCGTTGCTGCGTGGCCGTGGCCCCTGTGTTATTATGGAAAAAACCAGTCAACAGAGCGGGTCTCTTTCGAACAAGTGACTCATCGTGTAAGGAAAACGAATTTATTTTTCTGCAGCGAAAATTTCCGGAGTATCCGGGAGGAAGCTACCGGGAAGAGAGGGAAGAGACACGAGTGGCGGTGGAGCGACAGCGCGGTGCGGAGGAGATGAGTATCGCAACGAGGTTGGAAAGTCGTAAAATTGCGGTTTGGCGCGAAAATGGAGAGCGGCTCGGGTTCGGGCGCCGGGGTCGTACGCGAGGCGGCAGAAGCAGACGCCGCGCCGCGCCATGTCGAAATTTAACGAGCGGTTTTTCACCTTATTCCATCCGCCACGCTCATTGCCAGATCGGATACTTTAAGCTCTTCCTGTCTTCAAAACTTCGGATGATCCTAGAAATATGTTCTTGTGATACTTTTGTTTAATACTAGGAGTCCCCCCCCCNCCCCCTAGCCGCTACACGGTCCAACTCCCAGAGGACTTCGCGCCCTCTGTAGCCCGCTTTGGAGGTCCTTGTGCACTGAAAAAAAAATATTGCTGAAATTGCCATGCACGCGGGTATTTCATGGCATGGTGTAGCCAAAAAACGAACGTGTAAACCATGCAGGTAAAATCGCTACACAAAGTTCAGCTAACTTACACACACGCGTGTAGGTGCTTTTGCTCTCTGAAAAGCTACGTCTGTTACCTTTTTAGTTATTCTTTCGTAAATTTCGCTATTTTTCCGTAAATTCCGCTATTTCAGCCTAACTATTGAGCTATTTTTACTGTTTGCAAAGTACAAATACCAAAAAATGCAGTTACACTTTCAAGCCACTCGATGCAAGATTAACTGCATGAAGGCGCGCAGATGTAGCATCGGTAGATCGGCAGATGTAGAATCGGTGTAGCAATTCGTGCTAGTCGCTCACTTGATTAAACACCGTGCACGGATAAGAAAGCTTTACGAAGTGAAGCAAATTTTGCTCCACCCTAAATTGGTGAATTAGCAATCCTTTTTTTTTCAGTGTGAGTTAAGTTCCCGAAAAGAGCGAGCCCATCTGAAGACTATTAATTGTCAATAGCCGCAAAAATCCTGAAAACCGCGGGAATAAATGAAAATTTAGGTGGTGAGAGAGCTTGTGGTAATGCTGGGAGGTGAAACACAAATCAACGTAAAATTTGTGTTGATTTCCGCTTAAAATCAGCTTGCGTTAAATTCAGCTTAGAAAACAAGAGAAAATCCGCGAAAATCAACCGAACGTTAGGGAACTTTTGTGGTCCACTTCTCAAATTAACCAAACTTTCGTGTTGCTGCTCTTTCTCAGGAAGCAGGGGTGGAATGGCTCCACATTTTTCAAATTGTGAGCCCCCCCCCCCTCCCCGGGAGAGTAACTCTTCATCGTGCAAATTCTTTAGAGAATTTGAAAGCTAAATCCTGAGGGGCTCAGAAATATTCCATAAGAAGAACCAAAAGATGGCCCCTGAGGGTCTCTTTTGGAGAAGTGTAGGGGACGATAGCCCTCTTGCCCCTCGGGCCCTGCCAGCGATTGAGGTCTTCTGCACATAGTATGTGCGTAGGGGCAGACTGTGAGTGGTAAAATAAGCGGAAATACGGGCT